TCATAATGCAATGGCAAATGCTACCATATCTTACAACAGAAATTGAAAATATATTTTTATTCTAAGTAAAACTATTTTTTCACATTTTTTTTTAATTTAGATTTTTCGTTTCCGAGGACTGACGTTTAGAATGCTTTACAGCGATCTTGGTCACGGGAGAGATAGAGTCTAGAGGCAGAGTCTCTCCTGTGACCATGATTTATCGGTCTTGTTCTTCTTACCAAATTTCATCTAAATCGATCCAGTAGATTTTTAGTTTATTCGTTACAAACATACAAAAATATATCTCATAGTAGTGTATGGAATGTATGTATGTAAGTTTTAATTGTCTCAATTATATTAGTTTAAAAACAAAATCTTTTATTTGCTTAAAAATTAATTGCGCTTGCGCAATGTAACAAGGAAATGATTTATTGCTGTGCTATATTGTTTGTTGAAACTTTCACATCTCTCTAGTATTAATGATGGATGTGGCAAGACAGATTGTGTTGCGTAACGAGACTTTCCTCTGGAATTTCTCAAGCATAAATCTATATCTACATAAAAATAAAATGACCATGTCTGTTTGTAATATAGGTAGATAAAAAATGACAAAACCCATATTAAAAAAGTTATTAGTGAGGTATGGTTTTAGTTAATCTTTTTACTTTTTATCTATTTTCTGAAAATTAAAAACTCACAATAGCCAAAAACCATAGAAGATAAAAAGCTGATATTTATAAAAAAATTGAAATAAAATTAAATAATTTCCATAAGTTGGAACAAGCTCTCAACTACTCTCGTTAATAATTCTAAATAAATAATTTATATAATAATTAATAAAAAATTACATTATATTATTATTTATTATATATTATTTTATACATATACAATATATATATTATACATTATATATTAATTTGAAGCTGATATACACATACTATTAATATTATGTACAAAAGTAATATTATCGCACACGCAAATACGTCTCCGTCTGTAACGGCATTTGATGGGGCCCGCCATCATTACCTCGACAATTGCAGTGTTATTGGAATAATATATTATGTATGTATTTTGTAATATTACATTTTACATATTATAATAGAATAGCTTCCATCAATCCTGATTAGGCTAGTGACTCGTACGTTTCGTCGATACGTTTTAACTCTTAACGGTTAATATGGAATAGATAGTCGATCGCTTGCTCTGTGAAAACAAAAACGAATCTAGTTCGGAATAAAAAGTAACCTATGTTCCTATGTCCAGGCTATAATCTATCTCTGTGCCAAATTTCATCCACATCCGTTCAGCCGTTCTGGCATGATTGAATAACAAACATCTATCAAAACTTTCGCATATTAATTAATTAAATGGATGATATTATATATTTATTATTATATATTATATGACCAGAGTATAAGTTATAATTACACTAAATTTAGTTAAAAGCGGTTTAATTATTTTTGCGTGAAACGCACGAACAAACAGTCAAACCGACAAAAATGTAATGTGCATAATGTGAGGTCATCAAAGTGTAGTTTGTCTAAGAGAAGAGTGACTTCGGAAACAAATAACCAGTACCATGACAAAGACCTAAACCAAATGTGTTTATAATCGTTATACGAACAGACAGAAAGATATTAGAGTTCTAGCCATGGGGTTTCATCAGGAAGAAAGATTAATCAATTATCGATTTAATGTTAATATAAAATTATTGGCTACACTCGCGTAGTTTTATATACCTATGTATGATTACTATGCTCCTAAGTTTCACATCATCCCCTAATATTTATCCCTAGACAGACAGACAGACAGACAGACAAAAATTCTAAGAAACTATAGATTCGGTCTCTGTATCGATAATAATGACTATTTCAATAAGATTTTCAAAAAAATAATGTACAAATTCGACTCAGAATTTTATTATTATTATTATACATATGTATAGATGAAGTGATTAACTACCTCGGTAGTGTAGTGGCTAGCAAGTACAACTGCACATCGAAAGGTCGGTTCGAATCCCGGGTCGGGCCAAGATAAGTTATTGAGTCTTTCTGTTTAGTAAGTCTCAGTGACAGCCCAGAGTTGGGTAGTTGGGTGTTTCACCCCCGCCGTGCCGCGGAGAGCACGTGAAGCTGTCAGTTATGCGCCGCCACTCTCACCGGTCGTGTCTCATGTCTTCCCACCGGAGTATGAGAGTGACGGGAATAGAGAGTGCACGTTGTGTCTCCGCGTACACGCACTGCACTATAATATCTCCTGCCCAAACGGCTAGTCTCAATGAGACTGGCCGCCGTGGCCGGAGTCGGTCGTGAGGTCGTTAGATGAAGCGATATTTCGCTTCATCTAACGACCTCACTGAAACTATATTATTATCTATTGATAATAATATAGTTTCAATTTAACGCCTTCTATCGTCTATTTAAGAAAACAAAAATAATGCAAATAAGTGATGTTCAATTTCTTTGTATCTCTACTAATATAATATTAAAATTAAATTAAACTTTATTCCATTAGGCTTATTATAAGCACTTTTGAATCGTAAATTTAATTTAAAAAGAGTGTAGTCAGTCCGTGAGGAAGCTACCACCGGCTCGGAAAGCAGTTCTGCTGACAAGGGCCGGCGAATTGTTCTTTTAAATATCGAATTTTATTTTATTAACGTAATATTATAGATAGTCCGCATATGAGTCAATATTTCTAAATTCCATACATTTCCATCAACAAGAAATTCTTGTAACTATAACATCAAAGTGCTCTAGCAAGCCACTTTTAACAATTTAGGTAAGTATCGCTTATGTTAAGAATATGACTTTAAGCCAAGTGACCGGTACCATCCGTTGCTGTTGTTGCACACCTTGTTTTACTACGATACAAAAAAATAAAATATACAAAAAAAACTTAAAACGTTGTCCGAAACAATTACATACAAAAAATAAATGAACCAACAATGTATAAATACGTTGTTTACAATTTAAAAGACTAAAACTGGTTTCCAGTTCTAGTGAACAAATGGTAAAAAAACTTTTACCACAAGATAAGTGCGCCAATAAATAGATACGAGAAACACGATAAAGTATTCCCCCTGTAATGTACTAAATATATATTTACCATAACCTCTACCATGAAACTCTTTCTCGATATTCGCTAACGAGTGTAGTAGGTATTTCTATTGCAGGCAACTAACTGCACGGCGATATTTACAATACATATATTCATATCAACGTTATATTAATAGCATTTTTCTATTTTCTAGCAATAATAAAAACATATACCTATCAATAATTATTTTGCTCGAAGAAACTCATAGTTATAGATGTACGTTACTATAGAAATAGATAAATTTAAAATATCAAACTCTCGTTTAAATTAATAATAATAAAAATTCTACATATACTGTGATACTCAAAAAGATAATAATACAGGTAAAATTCGGAGGATGGAAAAAAATATCTCTTCGCGTTATCGAGAATGTTTTTTTATTTTCCAAAAACTTTAACTACTACATTAACTACTACATTTTTAGAAAAATTGAAATAATTTATAAATTAATTTATTGCATTTTTCAAAAAATTAATAATTAAATAAAATTAACTTTATCGAAACTTTACCCATTTTATTCAAAATGAGTAAAAATAATGATAATTGGGCGGCATTTTTACTATGACCAAGGGCGGCGTTAACGTTAAATCTGGCACTGGTATCATGCAAAGTATATCAAGAATAGATATACAAACTCGTAGTAGGTACTAGCCTATTTAGTGATCTATTTAAGTCATTTTGTTTTTGCTACAACGTAACGTTTCTACGACATTTCGTAACGTTTTCTGAGCAATGCGATAATTACGCAAGGTGTCATTAGTGTGGAGTTGTGGCGGATAAAATAGTATTTATCGATGCCAAGACATTTCAAATCTATATTTATTATTTTAGACTCATAATGCATAAAATTAAAGTCATGAAAACTAACTAAGGTTTACCTATCACATTCTAAAATCTCTAAAAACTCAAAAAATCCTTCTACCTTACCAATAAAGAACTGGCTAAAAACAAAGTTAGAAATATTTTTTCTTGGTTTTCATAACAACGTAATATAAAAATAGTACATTAGTGATTAGATACCCTTGTATATAAATAATATATGTGTAACATTTTTATGAATATTATTTGCAATGAAAAAGTACCTAGTGGCATTTCAATAGCTGCTTTATAATATGTCTAACAAAATATTATGAACACCGTCGACTGTCATGAAAAAATGCAGCACTTAACTCCCTTTTTTTTTTTTTTAACGTTGGGAAATGCATTTACGCACGAGGTGTGGGACTCACCGGCAAAACCAGTACTACCCACTAAAACCCAACAAAACCTTCCCCCGTCTTAATGGGGCGTCGCAGGATCGCTTACGCATTCAACTACGACGCCCCGACGGCAGGTCTGCCGAAGCAGACCACAACAACCACGGGGTTGCTCCACAGTCCACTCTGCTATCAGAGAAGTACCAGGAGCAACCCGCATGGTACACTGCCCTCCGAAGAGGGCCACCTCCTACCGCCCACCGAAGTGGGCCTCCTCCCTGTGCGTTTCTTGGCTTCGCGCCCGGTTGGGTTGCCGGGCACTACTGAGCCCCCCCACCACGACAAGGTGAACGCACGTTAGGGGGGAGCACTTAACTCCCTACTGTCGTACAGACAAGTACGATTCAATATATTATTCTATAAGCTCTTCCATGACAATGTAAAGCCTTCGAAATGTTGAGAACCAAAAAACAAAATAAAATAGAGAAAAAATCTAAAAAAAAAATAATATTAAAAAACTAACGACTTTCGATGCATCCCTAGGTGCCAACCAGTATCAAAACTATTCTATCTTACAAAATTTTATTTAAATTTGACAAACTGTTTCAGCGTAAAGGACTAACAAAAATACAGACTTTCGCAATTATTCTAGTAGTCCGATATTAAATATTCGAATAAAGCTAAGAAAGTCTTGTATAAATGTCCACAAATTAACTGTTTCAGAATGGCTGTAGTGCTTTGCAACGCGCGGCGGCGGACGGCCACGTGGACGTCGTGCGGGTGTTGCTGGAACATGGCGCTGATCCCAACCGACAGGACCTTGTGGTGAGATAATGATAATGCTGAATTATAAAATCGCAAACATGTGAAGTCCGCCAAACCCGCACTTGACCAGCGTGGTGGACTATGGTCTGAACCTTCTCGTATTAAAAGGAGGTCCGTGCCCAGCGGTGGGACGTTAAAAAGGGCTGAATACATCATATCGCTGGAGATATTCTTGATTAATTGTTGGTAATACCTAATAAATATTAACTTAGTATTTAGTGTTAGACCATTGTAACTCCTCTGACCGTTCTTGATTAAAGTATAATTAAACAGTCAGGCATACAGACCAACTGACAAACTATTAAATTGACAGCGGTTATATGAATAATTATACTGTGCCGGTCTCATATTATAACTGTCATTCAAATGGCGCGTTTGCATCGGTACATTCGAATTACTCCTACATAATATAAATAACAAAATATATCGACAAAAGGGCAATCATTTTCAAGTTATTTCAGAGAAACTACGTTAAATACAGGAGCCCGGTGACGTGAAATGGCTACTCGCGCATCATACATTTCGTTTTTATGAAACATTCTAATTGTATAAATATTTTGACCTAATTAAAATTTTGTCATATACTAGCATTTTTTACAACTTAATCTAAAGATTGCTAAGCAATCTTCAGATTAAGAAAACTACGAAAGAAACTAAGAAGATTAAGAAAACATCAAAATCGCTCCAGCCGTTTTGGAGTCCATAGGGAACATACATACACATATTGATTTATATGCAATTACCCAACACTAACCATATTCCTCCACCTGTAGCACGGCAACACAGCAGCCCACGAGGCAGCGTGGAAGGGCTACTCGCGCACAGTGGCGCTCCTGGCGCGCGTGTGCGAGCCGCGCCGCAACGCCGCCGGTTTCCTGCCGCTGCACCTCGCCACGCAGAACGGTCACAACCAGTCCGCGCGCGAGATACTACTTGCAGGGGCTTCCCCGGACTTGCAGAATAATGTTTGTATTTTGTGACTTTAAAATTTGACAAATAAATTATAACGTAAATGTTACAAAGGTATCGGATGTTGCGGTTTACCGAATTTGATTTCAGATTATCCGATTTCCAGTGGCATAGAAAAACAGTTAAAAATCTATTTGTGTAATTGGTAAGCACTACCGCACCGAAACGCACTAAATTAACTCATTTTCTCACTTCTGAAGGGTTTCTGGAAGATATCTCTTAAAGAGAAAAATTATCCTTTGTCGACATTCTGTTAGATACTTTATTTTGTATAAAATATATTTTGTGGTACATAAATAAATAAAAAATAAATAAATAACCGATTCAGTAAAACCATTTCCTTTCTGTTTTGCGCCCATCACTAATGATGGGATAATGCGGAACTGGATGATAATTCTTAAATACATACATGGAAGACCTCTTCAAGTAAAGTATTGACTGCTCATGTAAAATATTAACAGATTGGAAATACAATAATATTTTATTACTTACAAAATAAGTTCTATTTAATATTACAGCAGAAGTTTTGGTATTCTCCATATGACACTTAGATTAATTATTGATTAAAAATACTAAGTTTAAAATATTTTCCATTCTAGTATGGCGACACATCCCTCCACACGGCAGCTCGCTATGGCCATGCCGGAGTCACGCGCATTCTCATCTCAGCTCAGTGTCGAGTCTCCGAACAAAATAAGAATGGAGACACCGCGCTGCATATCGCCGCTGCTATGGGGAGACGGAAACTCACTCGAATACTCTTAGAAGCAGGCTGCGATAAATCACTGCGGAACCACCAAGGAGAAACAGCCAGAGATATCGCTACTAGGAAAGGCTTGGAAGAAATTATCAGTATACTCAACACGCCAGTAGCAAAACAGGCAACACACAAAAAGAAAGACAGGCACAGAGACAAAAGCAGAGACCGCGCTATAGATGAGCCAGATGATGCCAAGAAAAGAGATAAGAGCAAAGAAAAAAAGAAGAGGAGTGTGCATTTTGAAAATCCCGCTCAAGTTCAGTGGTCACCTTACGGCTGCCATTATTACCCGGACCCGAAGTATTTCCCCAAGCCCAAGTTAAGCTCGCTACCCACCGAACCACTAAAGAAAGGCGAACAATACTATTTGGACTTAGCTGGAAATATTAAAAAAGGCCCGATTGGTGCTGGGTATACGTGCTATTGTGCACCATTCTTCAAACACATGGAAGAGAAGCTGAATGAAGATAAAAAAGATTTAAAGCGTCATATAGATAGAGCTCATGAAAGATTGGATCAAAAAGTAACTGATTTGGAAATGAAAACACAAGGCCGAATATCAGAATTAACTAGATTTGTGGCAGCAGAAAGAGCTCTGTGTAAAGAAAGGCATAAACACTTAGAGCAGTGGTTGACAAGAGGTATTATGCATCGTGCCTCGGAACGCGTAAAGAAATTAGAGTTCAGTCCGAAAGGATCCTCAGACATACCACCGATAAAACGTACAAGAAGTTTAGAATTTCTGGACGCAAACAATGAGGAATGGAACGATGTAAATAGAATTATCAAGGGCTTGAATGATAATGTAGAACAATGTGAAAATATTGCCAAAGACCTGGATTACAAATCTACATCGAAGAGTTCTGAACGATTAGACACTAGAACACCTCCGAGCCCGAGAAGAAAACACCTTCTGAAAAGTTCTAAAAGCAGCGAACAGTTAGATGCTGGACCCAGCAGGTGTTCAAGATCACCTCACCTAACACCTTACACAAGCAGCCAAGATTCTTCCCATAACATTACAGCTGAAATCCACGTTAAGTCTAATAAAGTATCTGTTTCCCAATCCCCAGTATCTGATAGTTGCAATGAAAGATATGTATCACCATGTCGACAAACTACAATATCTCCAAGCGGTAGTAATAGACATTCTGACTTTAAAACGAGTGACCCAGAAGGCGAAGTCAATTTAATCACTCAATCAGACACTCAAAACGAAGCTATTTGGAAAAGCCAAGTATTACAAAGAACTGCTGATGATATTCGAAAACGAGTTATACATGAAAAAGAAATGTCGGAAAATCTTTCAAGGAATACTAAGTTGGATATTTCACAAGACGGATATATTAAATTTCTAAAGCAATCTGAATATAGAGAAGATATAGAAAGGGCACCGAGAAAATCCGTGCAAGAACTAGTAGCTCAAGTGGAGCATCAACAAAGATGTACCTCACCAGAACTACAAAGGGTACCACTGCCGAGAAAACTAGCTGAAAAAGAGCCACCAGTAATAGTGCCACAACCTAACACAGTATTAAAAATGCCACAACAACCGATGAGACCAGCACCCATCTTAAAAGAGAAACCACCGAAAACTAAACGGTTTAGCCTTCATAACCTCATACCGTTCCCGACGAGAAAAACTTTTCAAACCCCACCAAAAGAGAACGGAAATAACTCAGAGAGTAGCGACGAAGAAGATAATCCGATACGAAGTACAAACCAGCCGGGTCCTATGAGAAACACCAATTTACTCCAGACATTGCCCCTCCCTAACTACGAGACGATGTCAACTAAATCGCAATCTCCAGCTCCCCAAGTGCAAAATACAAACTACCCTCACGACGTACGAATGATACCAAAGGATGCGTATTTCCACGACATACCAAATAGGCAAGTCCACCAAATGCCATACCGAGACGTAGAAAACGGTCTCCCATACAGTCAATACCCTTGCAAAAGCCAATACGACTGTAAAGAGGCTGGTGCACAAAACCAAGTCCAGGGTCGCAATAGAAACCCGATATTCCACCATCAAACGGGCGTCTTCAACGCGATGATGCAAGACCATATAATGCGGGAAATAGAACGTATACCGCATTGCTATAGCGACCATTTGGACCAGAACACAGAGGTGGAAATTGCGAACCAAAACGAACACTTTCGCGGTGGGTACTACGATAACCGTCCGCCAATGTACCCGGCATTCAGGGGAAACCCCGTGAGAAAACCTGCTCCTGATCACAATTTACTGCACAGTCGTCTCCAATCCCTTGCAATAAATACACATTTGACGGAAACCCAGAGTCAAACTGATAGAGAGTCCCATAATGACTCGGGGTATAGCACAAAAGTGTACGGCAGTTCACAAGGACCTTCACCAAGTCTCTCCGGCCACGTTGATGACAATCTGTCAGGACAGAGGATAAGTGTGCTGCCTAATAAAGATGTCGGTGGTCAGATGGGTGCTTCGAGTTTAGTCTAGATGAAAATGCAGATAAAATAATCCATAAACAAAAAGAGAATTAGGAAAAGATCTATTTTTGTGAACTTTTAAATGTAAAAACCAACAATTGCCTTAAATGAAAGGTTAAATCACTAATAGAACTTGAGTAATAGTCATCCCTTCAATAATTTTACATGGATTTTTTAATAATTTTAATTTTTTTTTCAAGCACAAGCACATTTGCAAAAAAAAAATAATTTTATACACAAATACTGATAAAATAAAATTACTTTTAATTTTTTAACTAAAGTACAAACTTGAATTAGAAATGAGATGCCATGTCACAAATAATGATAAGCTTAAGAATAATAATGATTATTAGGCTGAATACGTTTTTGTATGAAAGTGTATTTTTTTTTAATGTAAATGTGGTATCACTCGAGCCTTATTAGTAATGTAACATAATAAACGTGTTTGATTTTGTTTATAATTATATTTATTATATTTTTGTGTATGTTTTGTACTGATTTTAATAAATGCACTTTAAAGTGACACTTTCATATTTGTTTTAATTATTTTTATTTATAACCTTTAACAATAAATGAAAGTAGCAAATAAATATAACTAATAGTTATCTTAAAAAGCATAGACAAAGTTTATTTTTCATTATTTATTTAACAAAACATAAACTACACTATTAATTGTACGAATACAATTTTACTATCTACATTTTATACAAATAAATATTAGATCATTATATTCTATGAAACCAGAGATAAAATCTATAAAACAACACGTCCACCAAAGGAAGAATAGCTATCACTTTCTCTTACCCCCCCCCCTCCCTTTCTCCCTCTCTCTCTCTCTTTCGCTCGGAATATAAGTTCCCATGCACATCATGGTTTTTACGCGCGCTGATGACGCATATAGAAACGTATTTTGTGGTAATAAACATGAAAGGGCCTGTCTACACACGCTTCACAATGGCGCCTTCAATGCGCCTGCGCATATTCTGCTCTGATAAGCTTAAGAGATGCATATTACTTGCGTTCGTATCAATACAAACGCATAGGTAATAAACGTGGATGTCACGTTAAAAAGACTTCATATGCAAATGCCCTTTTATCGAACTGCTGCAGGCTGGTATTTTTTGATAAGCAATAAATGTATGTCTGGATACTAACATTGAACAAAGAATTTTGATGTTTTAAATAAAACTATCTCGCTAGAAAACATTAAAAGAATTTCGAATTCAAATTTATTTCTCTATTACACCAAAATATTCAAAATCGGCTGGATAATAGATGTAATAACTAATTAGCCGTTTAAATTATATTTTCTATCATTATCATCTAACATTTTGAGGTTATGTCTGTCCGCCCAATCAAAGTCCTTGTAAAACTCCGCAATACTCGTGTGACAGAGAGGAGTTCCACTCAACACTGAACACCTTGCACTTTCTATTTTAACACTAACATAATCCCCCGGCTTCACCTGTCTTCTCCCTTCACCACACGGTATTTCCATTTGATCAAACACCACTTTTATATAGAATTCATTTCTGCCCAAAATTTGACCGGTTTTTTGTACAAAACCTTCGACTAGAACTAAATGAATACTACCAATTTCTTGATCATTTAATTTTTGGCATTTCTTCCTGTACAATTGTATGAGACGAAAGTGTCGCTCCTTTTTAACGTGTTCGGGGACATCGTCTTTATAACGACGATAGGCTGCTGTTTTCTGTAAAATTTACATAAAAAAACTATTTTAAAAACATAAACATATACCTATAATTAAAATTTTCTGTTTGTAATGTCAAAATAACAGTTATTTTTACTAAAACATGAAAGTACATACGGTACTAATAAGAAAAAAAAACTATCTTTTAAAATTTTCGTCCCGGATCGTATTTTCGTTCCGGATAATCTCTAAAACGGCTGGACCGATTTTAAGGGACTTTCACTGACAGATAGCCAATGTTATAAGAAGTAACGTAGGCTACTTTTTTTTTGTGAAAAAGAATATTTATGAAAAATTAAACCCCATGACATTGTGATCAAAATCCTCGTGAGGACGCACCCGAGCATAGCGAGGGTAAGTCGCTCGTTATGACAAGTTTTTATTATTTATTTTATTTTTATTCTTTGTTGCACACACAATAAATAAACAATAGGTAAAGATACTTATTGTCTGAGAAAATATATAAGATACTAGCAGAACCCGCGGCTTCGCTTTCATACAAACTTTCATCCCCTATTTTACCCTCCTATGGGATGACTTTCGAAAAATGCTAAAACACGTATTTATTTAATTGTATTGAAGAGCATTAATACCAAGTTTCAAGTAATTCTGATCATAAATAATTGTTGGGTTGTATTGTAACGTGTTTTCCTATGGGAATAAGATAATCTCCCGCGGTAAAAAGTAGCCTATGTCACTCTCCAGCCCTCTAACTATCTCCACACAAAAAATCACGTCAATCCGTCACTCCGTTTCGACGTAAAGGAACGACAAACAAACAATCACACTTTCACATTTTTAATATTAAGTATAGATGCACAAATGGTCTTATTGCCTAATGCAATTTAAATAAAGATTAAAATTATTGACAACTGACATCAAAAACCTTAATCGCCAAAATATCTAAAAAAAAAAGATTTCTCCTAGATTCTAGAACAAATCTTTTTTCCGGTATTTCTAGAATCTAGGATATAGTTAAAAATACTTACCTCTCTCATACTGTAAGGAAATAGGAAAGCCACGTTGTAGTCAACAAGTTCCATTAAAGACATAGTTTCTTCAAATTCTTCATCAGTTTCTCCACAGAAGCCGCAAATTATGTCAGTTGAAAGACCAACTGCAAAAAAATTATCGACTGAAAAAAGGACTTTGAAAGAATAAAAATTTAAATAACCTACTTATTTGAGATAAAAGGATGCAGTTCTTTCAAATAAAAATCAAATTATAAGTATTAAGGATTGGGGTTAAGACCCCACTTGAAAATATGAACTATATTGCTAAGGTAATATGTTAATATATGTTGGGACATTAACACAGCACCATCTAGTTCTATGGTAAGCTACAAGGCTTGTGTTATGGATACTAGATAGTTGATACACTACACATATATAAACTTTAAATACATACATATTATAAATATAAACACCCATGACTGGAGTACAAACATTCGTGCTCATCACACAATGAATGCCCCCAGCGGGACTCGAACCCGCGACCGCTGGCACAGCAAGTAGGGTCACTACACGCTGAGCCAAATGTGTCATCATGTTCATATTTTCAAGTTATATGATATCTTTTCACTTTAAATCTGACATTTCCATGTGGGAATAATTGCAACTCATAAAAGTAATTGAAGAACCTCCTCCTTTTTGAAGTCAGTTGAAAACATGTTAAATATAAATGATATTGCTCACATAATTAATTCAATTCATTGTTATATGGAGGCATAGCATACACACCGAGCAACATACTGCGTACATGTTGAAGCTCATCCAAGAAAAGCCTGCACAGAGTGCACACGAAAAACGTCTCAATTTATAGTATCCTTTAACACCTAGAGAAGGCATAACGCTTTTTCGTTACGTGACGATTTCTAACAGTTAACTCCTACCACAAGCCGTGTTAATGAACTTCGTTCCAAAATATTGTCAGTGACAAGTGTGACTAAGACAGCTAAAGAGAGAATAGAACCCTCACCCCCCGGCACGACGGCCCGCACACGCTCCACGAGGTGCAAGTAGGCGTCGCGCGAGTACCCGCGCCGCATGCGCTGCAGTACCGACGACGCGCCGCTCTGCGCCGGCAGGTGCAGCATCTTGCAGATGTTGCGCCGCTCCGAGATCACGCGCAGCACCTGCGCGTTGCGGAGTGAGCTGCGATCGCACTTGGCCAATGTCACAGACAGACATTGGTCAAGTGCGAGCCGATATAGCAGTATTATATACTCTCTCTCATTCTACAGCTCTTAAATTTTGTGTGTTACATTGTAAAAAATATTTTTTTAGAGATATGTATTTGTTAGAGTATGTAATTGTAAGTCTCTCCCGTAACCATGTTTGGTGCAAAGCATTCGAAACGTCGGGAACCAAGAATAATAAATCATCCACATTGTTGTTTACAGCATTGGTCAAGTGCTTGCCGGAAGAAGCTCCAGTTTAATACTATTTATATGGATAATATATACGAGAATTACATATTAGGACAGTATGACTTAACAATATAATTTTTCATTTAAATACAGCATTAAAAATTCTTCAGACATTATTAAGACACACTAGAGACACTTGATGTAAATTGAACTGCTATAAAAAGTCAATATTTTCGATTTCTGTTTAATACTTGGATTTATTACCAAATCTAAAAGAAAATAGCACACCTAAAAATATACTTAAAGGCACACTATATAAATCTCATTACTTATTTAACTAATGAGATTTATATTTATAAACTCGTAAAATGTAACATATTATGATAGTATTACCTCATCAGGAAAATCTTTGGGATGCGCTGCGGTAAATCTAATTCTCATTTCTGGGTCAACTGAAGACACTTTGTCCAACAGATCTGCAAACCTTAAGCCTCCTTTCTTGTGCTTGTAAACTGTTTTAAATCCTAAAATTCAAACTATTATTCTTAATCCATATATTTTGTTCATACATAGTAAATATATCTCAATATTGTAAATAAAAAAATGTAAAAACAAATTATAACATAAATATGGGGATAATTTTAGTATTGCAACAAACTTTTTCATTATAAAATTATAATTTTTGTCAATTAAAATATACCTCCTATCGTTATTTTGATTAAGAACAAAGAACTAAAAAAATAAGGCAAAATGAGAAAAAGAGTATTTCTTTTATATACCTTCAGCCAACTTTGTGTCAAATTTCTCAGTATTTTCACTCACATCTCTGTAACTATTTACATTCTGACCCAACAATGTGACTTCCTTCACACCATTTTCGGAGAGGTGCTTCACTTCATCCACAATAGATGAGATAGGACGGGATCTCTCACGACCTCGGGTGAATGGTACTATACAATAAGTGCACATGTTGTCACAGCCACGCATTATTGATCTAAAAAAAATTAATACTTTTTAATTTGAAAGGTATGTAGGTGAACTTCAAAATCACTTTAAATGTAATTAATAAAATAAGGGACTGTTAAGATAAACTGTTTATTAGAAAAATAATAAAGAAAATTTATTGCTATCAACTTACATAAAAGCAGAAACACTGCCTTGGTTCAATCGCACAGGGACAACATCTGCATAAGTCTCATCTAAAGATAAGAGCACATTAACAGCTGTCTGACCATTTTCTGTTACTGCTAGAAGCCTTGGCAGATCTCTGTAGCTATCTGGTCCAGCAACTAAAATTGGATAGTTGTTTGAAGTTTACTTGCTTTTAAAATGTAACTTGGCCAGAAATATGAAATACTTTAAAATACAAACCAACATCAACAGCTTTTTCTTTCTCAATTAACTTCTCTTTTAATCTCTCTGCCATGCAACCTAAGATACCTATCTTGACTGGATTTTGCCGATTTTTCGAAAATGCCCGTCGATTCTTAAATCCCCGCAGATGATCTAACCGATGCCATATCTTTGTTTCAGCACCTTCTCGAATTGCACAAGTCATCACAAGAAAAATATCTGCTTCTTCTTCTACTTCAGTTTTCTCGTAGCCTTCATTTTTCAAAATAGACCAAACTATTTCGGTGTCATTCAAGTTCATTTGGCAACCATATACATCAAAATAAACCTTTCGTTTAGAAGTATTTTGTATGTTATCCGGCAAATATGGTATATGAGGCTTATGAGTAATAACATCAGTTGGTCCAGCAGAATCAATAATAAAATCTTTCAACCCTGGACCATGTTTTATTTTATTTTTCATAGCACTAAATGCTGTATTGGATTTACATCGACATTTGTGTGGTGAACTTACATATCTAAGTAAATGTTTTCCATTTCTTAAGAATAACATTTTTATACGGCTTTACTTTAAGTTTAATTTACAAATTTTTCGTTGTTTCAAAATATATTACAAAACAAATATAACCTAAAAAATTTTTTATGACATTTTGACATTCTTTATTATTCATCAGTCATCTGTGACTTTGACACAATTATTGGACTGTGGCTGTTAAAAACAACGGGAAGAATTTTGATCTTTTCTTCCGCCAGATATCGCGGTCCCTATGACCCTCAGTATATTGTAAAGCTCTGTAATATAGTAGATGGTTTTTTTTATTTTATTTAAAACTTTAATAAAATTACAAATTGTGCAGTGCCAAGATGCAAAGAAAATGGATATCATTTGTTCTCAAGAGACAAAAACTGAAGAAATTGTGTGGTAAAGCAATAAGACGATCAAAATTGACGAAATAAATCTTTATATTTAAGGCTATGTGGACATCATTTTACAGACAGTGATTTAAAACTGGTTAAACGTCTACACAGGGGGGGGACTTCCCAGTATATATCTATACTCTTTGCGTCTACAGGTGTTTTTCCCCCTTTATAATATACTACCACTACTACGTATATGTCAATAGTTAATTTCTTTTTTGCTGCACTTAAAACTGTATTTTCAAATTTCAACTAAAAGTGAAATTACAGTGACGGTATGTAGAATATAAGTAGATAGATACTTTTATACTACCATTACGACGTAAACTTTATGAAAATGGACTTACTGGTTTTCTGAATAATAATCATTAAATAGTTGAAAGATATATAATATGATAATATTTATTTAAAAAATAATAATAAAAACAAAATATTCAGTTTATTCAATATTAATTCAATCAGTTTCATAATACCTAAAAAGTTAAAGAACATAATTATATGCATTAGCATACTCATTCGTAAAAAGCATTGAAAAATAAGATGGCCGACTGACTTTTCGTCACATACTTGCGTAGCAAAAAATGCTAATTGGTATCTATATGTGTTCTATTTCTTAATTATTGTAAAACAATTTAAAAACAGCATGAGTGACCGCCATCGGGAACATAAAGGTATTCGAATGTGTTAAAATGTATTTTAAATGATTGTTACTAAATCAATCGCATTCAATGATATATTTTTTACTGAAATTTATATATTGTATTTATCTTTGCCAGTGTTTTCGCATTGGCAGGGTCGTCTCGATCTTCGCGTGATGATTATAGGAAGTACAAAGAAAAGGATGGGAGGCGGACACGATCCCGGTCGAGGTCTCCTAGACGATATCGCTCGCCCCTACCGGGACACAAGAATACTGACAGGCCCAGTAATAGTCGAGTTAAGGACTTAGAATATGAAAGTAAGTAAATATTTTATTAATTAATGTAACTAGACTCAAAACTATTAAATTATATTTAGGTTTGCTTCCATTACTATTTTAGTAAAAATTAGTAAATGTGTTCTTTTAGATAGAAGGAGACATTCCCAAGAATATGAAGTTGAAGAAGTGCCTGCACCTCCACCACCACCTCGTATTAGTAAAATATCTATTGGTTTTCAAAAACCCAAGGCTCCTATTAAGATGACTCTAGGATCTAAACCTGCAGCTGCGCCTAAGCCAACAGTGGCTTCAGTGTTCAGTGCTGATGATGATGATGAACCTGAGGAGATGCCAGCAGAAGCTCGGATGAGAATGAGGAATATTGGAAGGTGAGTGGAAAATAATTATATACAATCTAAAAATAAAGTAAAGGCCCTTACAGATAGAGAATTGGAATTAATTAAAAAAATTAAAACATTATTCTTGCTCTTGTCTTATAAACTTATTTACAAATATACTTGTTAAACTGTAGCATAACCTTTTTTTATTAGAAAAACCCGATTCTTTGCTCGCGCTAAAATTACAAAAAAGTCTTTCTTTGGCTTTACATTATTAGTAATAATGTATGGAATTCTGCCCGATTTGTTTTACTTTTATGATAACTGCTCCATTACATTGGGTAGTAGTATGATATATAACCTATAGCCTTCCTCAATAAACAAGCTATCTAAATCAATCCACAAAGAATTTTTCAAATCAGATTAGTAGGTTCTTAGCTTATTCAAATAAATAAAAAAAAGAAACTACCTCATTATAATATTAGTGTAGATTAGTGTTTTAGAAGAAATTAAGGCTGTATATTATACTTTTTTTTACAGGGAAACACCAACATCAGCTGGTCCTAATTCATTTGGCAAAACAAAGCAAGGCTTTTGTGATGCTAAGAAAGTTTTTGAGAAAAATCTGAAACAAGCCCTGGAAACTGCAGATAAGCCAGCTGTTAAGTTCCCACAGACTATATATAAAATTAAGCCATAGGAACCTTATAGTATTCAAAATCATCATTACACTTTCAAATTGTAGTCATCTTGTAACATACTGATACACTTTTATAATATATCAGACTTTAAATAAACATTGGATCACATCACTTCTTAGTCTTACATTATTTCTTATATTTCCTCATAGTTCCTTTCATTTAAATAATATGAAAATGTATGTTCAAGGCTCTAATTTTTGGTTTGTTGTCATTGAATTATATTAAAATAAATTTTATTAAAATAAAGAAGTATTTTTAATAACTTCATACTTTTTCTAGTTCTTTAGAATGGAGAAAACAAATATGAATAATATTAATTTGAGATCTTTGTATCTATATATATGTCAGTTTATTTCTTTCAATAATTATGTGATGCAATCTATCTATTATTAATGAATTAAGTATAATTTGTATTATAATAATGAATTACATACATTAACTTTCTGAAATGTTCTTTTATTTTATGTTCTATTTGCTGTGATTAATCACATATGTATTTTTTTGGCTTATTCATGTCCTTATTTGAGAGTATAAATCAATTTCTCAAAGTTATTTTTAATTGATATATTTATATATTACTAGTAGAACCTGTGGCTTCGCTCGCGCTAATACTACAAAAAAAACTAAAAAGTAGTTTCATACAAACTTTCATCCTATCTTACCCCCTTATAAGATGAATTTCGAAAAATGCTAAAACACGTATTTATTTATTTAATTGAAGAGCATTAATACCAAGCTTCAAGTAATTCTGATCATAAATATTTTTTTGGGTTGTATTATAACGTGCTTTCCCGTGGGAACTAGATTATCTCCCGCGGTAAAAAGTAGCCACTGTCACTCTCCAGCATCTCCACACAAACTCCGTTTTGACGTGAAAGAAAGACAAACAAACACACTTTCACATTTATAATATTAGTATGGATGTACTATAACTAGCAGTACCCTCGGTTTCACCCGCGTTCAAACTTCCTATCGTTACCAAACGAAAAAGTATCACCTGCTGGGCTGATCTCAAGCTTGCCTGAAAATTTAATCAATACCGCTCCAGCTGTGTTGAGAGTTCAAAGGAAACAATATTATACACATATTTGACGACACGTTTGGCTTAGTTTGTAGCGACCCTACTTGCTGTGCCAGCGGTCGCGGGTTTGACCCCGCTGAGGGCATTCATTTGTGTTATGAGCACGTATGTTTGTATTCCAGTCATGGTTGTTAATATTTATAATATATATGTCTTTAAAGTTATATATGTGTAGTGTATCAGCTATCTGGTATCCATAACACAAACCTCGTAGCTTACCATGGAACTAGGTGGTGCTGTGTCAATGTCCCAACATGATGTTCTCCTGACCGATTCCGGCCACGGCGGCCAATCTCATTAAGACTAGCCAACTGCGCAGGAGATATTATAGTGCACAAGTGTATGCGCAGACACAAGTGCACTCTCTATTCCTGTCACTCTCATACTCCGGTGGGACGACTGCTCGACACGACCAGTGAGAGTTAAGGCGCAGGACCGGTGGCTTTACGTGCTCTCCGAGGCACGGGGGTGAAACACCGCCAACCACCAGAGTTGGGAAAACTCCGGGCTGTTACTGAGGCTTACTATACAGAAAGACTCAATAACTAAACTTGCCCCGACCCGGGACTCGAACCCAGGACCAGGTGTGCAGCAGTACATGCTAGCCACTACACCACCGAGGCAGTAACAACATATTTATTTATTTACATTGATTTTCACATACATAATTGTTTAATCTATGTTTTAAAACAAAATCACCTATTGGGTAGTGGGACTACACAGACTGGTAATGAGCTCTAGGGAAACCAAATGAAGCCGGTTTAAATCCCTGGTGATATTTTTGTGCAAATCGTTTTCAACATGATTATAACTTGCTAATATGGAGATGGAAAACTTGAAAGAACCTAGCTAGTTTTTAGACATGAGAAGTCTGATTAACTAAACTTGGCCAGCATAGTTGACACTAGACCCCTTTGATTTTTTTATATATTTTATTCCTCATGTTTTTTTATTATGTACAAAATTTTAAAACTTTGAAGATAAAATAGCTACTTAAAACATGTCATTTAACAATTAATTTTTAAATTATAATTATTTTAACATGTTTAATCAAGGATAACAGGGTAAAATTATAAAGTAACTGATCTATTGTTTGCAATATTTATAAGATTATACTAGCTTGTAGTCTAAATAAAACAAGATACATGGGTTTTTTACATAATTTTAATATTTAAAATTACTTCCTCTGCACATTTTGTGGTCTCTGCATGTCTCTTGGGAAGGTGCTCTTAGGCGGTGTACGGATACGTCTGTCTTTCTTGGACCTGTTCCTCACTACCTTACTGTGGATGGCGCATGACACGCAGTAATGGAGCTTTGCGTAGAGCTTGGGAAGCTGGAATGCTGAAATAGATTGTAGATATATTTATATGATGTTTGAAAATAAATATAGTATATAAATAAACATTTTTATATTTATCTTTACATTAATGATATCTTTATGAAATAATTATTATAAAGTATAGTGTATGTAATAATCTTATCATTACTTAATACTTTAAGTATTACCTATAAACAATGTTAAAATTGGAATAGAAACAAATATGAAATTGTAACAAACATGAGCATTTTATTATTTTCCATCTAACTTGATTGACCTGTATGAGAAATGGCAAACAATACCTTTCAGTACCGTTAATCAATTTAAAAAAAAAGTAAATTATGAATTTTATATATGACCATATGAAATCCGCCACTTACTTTTTTTTCGGTTCACTAGAATATCATGATAGGTTAAGTTATAAAACAAACGTGATATATATAGAAAGTATTCACATTAAATACTCGAAAAACATTTACAAATAATATTATACTTACAAGCATAGACGGAGGCTTCGTTGATATCTCTGACGGCAGCCGCCTCAACGATGTTTCTGATCACAAACTTTTTGATAGCCTTGTCTTTTGGCACGCATCGTGCGCAGTTGGTGCACCTTACAGCCTTTACGTGACCACGACCGTGCTTGGCGCGTCCTCCATTACGGCGTTTACGAGTCTGAAATTAAAGATTCCTCCATATAGCCACATGTTCATGACTTGACAGCCACCATGCGTACCGTTAACAACGTTATCACTGAAATTTACTATTAAATTTCACTACATCACACGTAACTCATATTATTTTATAGTATAACAGTTTCAAAGACATTTTTTAAACTTAATATTAAGATATTTTTACTTAAAAAGTTACGCACCATTTTTATAACCTCCGATTCGGTAAACGAAGAACGACGGAAAAGAATATTTTGACATAGACTATTTAGAATGAATGATGAAATATTTCCGGTCATAGATAAAATATTTTGTGTTATAGCTCATAATACTAATGCCCTAAAATAAAAATAATAATGATATATTACTATAAAACATTTTTCCAAATTAGAATATTAGCATTATTGCATTTTATAACATTATTATAATATTAAGTGTTTGACTGACAAGCTTTCTATTAACTTCACTGGTTTTTCTTTTAAGTATATCAAAATAATATTATTATTTAAAATCCATGACTATATAAGTCACAATAACACAATAACAAAGCAAAATAAACAAAAATCAATAATAATAATTATGTATGATAATGAACATTTAAAATATCAACAGCTGTCAATTAGAGAACATTTTCAATCATTCATTCTTATTGCTAGTATAAAATAAATAATCTGTGACAGCTTTATTTATTATCTACTATTTAAACTTTTTTCTTTGCGTTTTGTTATATTCTGTCGTCATTTTAGTAAAAAAAATATTTCATTCAATCGTTGCATGTAATATTATTTTGTTGCTAAATAGTGCTATATTTGTATAAATTATATTTGTTTAGCTTTTTCCGTCTATTTTTAGTAATATTAGAACTATTTATCTTCGTTGGATTGTATAGTGGCGCAAAAATATTCCGTTGTCGTCATAGAGTGATTGCCCGAGTGTCTATCCATTTTATCATAAACTCTTAAGTGCTTTAAATTTGTTTTATTGCGATGTGGCGCAGGTAGCTAACTTTAGTGACCGCGTGTGAAATGTCACATCATGGATGCCCGGAGAGACTTTCGAATAGATCAAAGGGCTACCAGGAAGATGGACCGAGCCAGCCAACGATGGAAGTGTTGGTGGAGACCCTTACGGGAACCGCGTTTGAAATGACCGTGTCACCTTCCGACACCATTTTTGCGATAAAGTCTAAGATATTTAGAGTAGAGGGTAAGTTTTTAGCAAATTCGTTATTACACAATCACAATTCACGGAACCTATGCTTGTTTATCATGCGTCATTGCAACAAAGGATGTCGTGGCTTTGTGCTGCGTAAAATACCAAATGTATATTTTAACATATAGCATAATTTTATAAAACGTGCAAATTAGAATTTCGATATCTTTAATTATGGTAATTTCATGGTCACATTTATTTAATAACAATAGTAGTTCACACAATTTGATAAAAGATATTTGTTTAGATCTAACATATGCATAGAAACTGTTTACTGAGCAAGGGTCACAATTAGGTAAACATTTTAATAATCTTAATCAGGTAATTGATTGAATAACCACCAATTTTTGCTTTTCTTATTGAGCTGTTTCAAGACAATATACTTTACCTATTAGATTGTATTGTACTTTTAACCAAAACATGATACAAATATACTAATCATTACATGTTAGTATTAATTTGTGACAAAAAATCTATCTTTAGATGAAATTTCAATAAAATAATTTTTACTTAAGTACTTGAATTAGATATTACATAAACAAAATATGAAATACTATTCTCAGTTTTATTATTATAAATTATTGGTTCTGTTACTGGTTAGTTTAATTTTAATTAAAACTTTAAATTTAAAAAAAATGTATTGTTATATTTTTTTATTAATCTGTTCTTTGTGTAGCTATTTAACCTAATGAAAGTTTGCTGTTACATCTATTACTTTTACTGCATTTTAAAACTTTCACAGATATAGGCTAGTATCATTTCATACACAAGTCAGTGTGATTTGGTAAATTATTTTGCAAATTTGAACTTGTGCCAGAACAGCTGTCCCAGTACAAGGCCCAGAAAGCAAAAATAAGTGACAATATAACAACAGATATTTCTCTTGCTATTTATTTTTTCATACAATATTTGCAATTAAAAATCCTTCTAACTTCTAACAGAAATTTACCTCATAAAGTAGATTAATTTAAAAATAAGTATAAGTGTTAAATGTGGACTAGATAAGACCATTTAAAATCTTTTCAATAAGTTTGTTTTTTACTACTGGGAGTATAATCTTTGCACCTATACAGATAAATAAAATTTAAGGGTCTGTAATGTCAAAATAATAGCTTCTTACTAAATGCATATGAAATTATAAGTTACTTATAAGTATATCACAATTTAAAAAGTCTTTGTCTGTCTGTCTGTTTGTTCCGGCTAATCTCCGAAACAGCTGGACTGATTTTAACAGGACTTTCACTGGCAGATAGTTGATATTATAAATGTTATTATAAACTGATGATATTAAAAACTGTTTAATTTAGAAAAAGAATTAGGGTTCCGCACAACAAATTAAAACATACCTAGGGATGCACCTGAGTGAAGCAAGGGCAAGTCGCTAGTGCTATGAATAGAGTTCTAAGACACCCATCATTGTCTTATAAATATTATTATCAAAATAGATTAAATAAAGTTTTCATATGAAGTTTATGTATAAAGAAAGAATGAAAAATATATGAATTTTATAATTTTATATGAATATTAACTAAGAAAGACAATAATAGTTCTTTGTATCACAAGGTATTTTACCATTACATTCTATAAGGCAATTTTTATCAATGTATGGAATACAGGGAGAATACCATAATAAACAACCTTTGTTGTAAGTAAGGAATGTTTGACTGCTATTTATGTTGGTCTTACTGGAAAGTTGGGTACCAACATTGATTAGATTAAATAATATATAAGTTTTTTAAAGTTTACATTATTACATCATAATTTCTCTTTCTTTTCACTTGGTTTTGCTATTACTAGAAAAAAAACAACCTATTTAAATGTATTTGCTTTCTAGCTTAATACTCGTAGGTAGGGATAAGATGTTTAATACACTATACCTCAGATTAAGGTATATATATAAACAGAGTGTCCGAACTAAACATGAAGCCTAAATATAATATTACATAAATAATATATAACTTTTTAAAATAGTATACAAATGGCAACTTGTATACTAAATCATATGTAAATAAATAAAAATAGCTAACAAAAAGAAATAATAAAATAATTTTATGCTATCTCTCTTTTATGGGAAAGAAAGCTTAAAAAATACAAAAGAATATGTTATTATTTTTATTACCCATATTTTATTCTTAAAATTTGTATATATTATTATTTATATGTATAAATTAATTTATACATATATAAATTTCCATAATTCTTTAAAATAAATGAACAAGTTGTATGGCAAAATCAAAAATAAAAAAAATAGTAGCAGCAACAACAGCAAATCATCATCTACTATTTTTGACTTTGACATCTATTTTAGTGGATTACCAAAATTACTAGCACTGTAGCTATATATATATATGTTTGCTATTATTAAACAAAACGGTTTATATAAAATATTAAGTAATGTACAAAACATTTTTTTAATGTATTTAATGAATGTATTTTGTTCCTTAAGAGTTGTGATTATTTTATTTAGAATGATATAAACATACATTTTGATACACTGTACGGCATGCTTGCTTGTATTGTGATTCAAATAGAACAAAATGGTACGAAAGCATTGTATTTGCAATTACTTTAAATTGTATTTAATAGAGGTTTCCATCTGGCGGGACTCCAATATGATTCAATTTGTATGACAGCACAGTACGAGTCTTGTGTAACATGAAAGCAATAAATTATTTTTATTTATGTTACCTATATATTATCTGAGATCATAGACTTATAGATTTAATTGTCTATGGTCAATGATGATAGTGAATTAAAGAGTTCAGGTTTTATCTGGATGACATAATAATATTTATTATATTATTAATAAGATATTATAAACTAGTGACTAATCCTTGCTTCGGTTGGATTGATTTTTTTGAGTGGAACCCTAAATATTTTTACAAAATAAAAATAGCCCAAGTTACTCGTTATAACATCTGCCGGTGAAAGTCCCGTCAAAACCAGTCCAGCCGTTTTGGAGATTAGCCAGAACAAACAGACAGACAAAGACAAAAAAATAAAAATTGTGTTTTTCTTACATGTACCATATATAATTCCATATGCATCCTGTAAGAAACTGTTATTTTGATATTACAAACAGACACTTCAATTTTATTTATCTATATAGATAAAAAATCTATATCTAAAGTAGGAAATTTATTGAGTGTACACACATTGGCACTAAATATAGATTTTCTTCTAAGGCTTGATTAGATCTTAACAATTAGAAGACTTCAATTATACGCATTGACTCATTTTTGATAAATAATTGGATGTATTCTCTTTATTTTTTTTAGATTGTAATAATGAACTAAGCAAATAGTATTTTTATAGTACAGGCCTTCTACTAATCTATATTCATTAATCTATAGAAACTTAGCTCCATTCAAATCTGCTAAGTTTATACAAAAATACAGAAAGTTAGCTATACTGATGAGTGTTCTTTGTTTGTTAGAATGTACTGAACTCTGGAAGTACCGATCTGATCTCAAATTTTTTTTGGGTTTTATAGCAAATTTTTGGAAACTGCTATGCATTATAAATTAACTACGACTGTAAGAAATTACATGAACAGAGTCACAGGCAAAAGCTAGTTTTACTATAATCAAAATGAAAATAATATAACTCTAGCTCGATATTACAGATTATTTCAAAAAAATTTCAGGTATCCCAGTATCGCAACAGCATCTGCTATATAACCTGCGGGAGTTGGACGATGGCCTATCCCTACGGGACCACGCTATCACCGACGGGGCGAAGCTCCGCCTCGTGCTAGGGCTCCGCGGTGGGCCCGTGTCCACGCGCCGCCTGCCCCCACCGGAGCCCTGGCGCGATATAGAGAGGCTGCTACACTCTAACAGGTCTGATGAGTGGGTATCTTTTATTTTATTTATTGGCGTATTTAATATATAGATATTTTAATGTTGATTTAATGTAAAAAAGGATAATATATATATATCTTTAAGTAGTTATAAATTAAAATTATTTATTTTTAAAATTCACTCGCCATTTTGCGCTGACAATCTGACATTATCTGCAAACAAGTATAGGAAGCGTGAAACACTTCCTAAATGGACCATCTCATTAACATCACATAAAAGATATACAGCTTCCTTTGTAAAGATCAATAAAATATCAAGGTCTTTATGTAGTTTTTATATGGTGTTTATTTAAAAACCGATTATATTTCAATAAGAATGATGCCGATTCATAAGTATTCCGTGAGAGTCAGATTTATATTAAAACATGGAGTATGGCCCACCATTCTTAAATTTTATATATGATATGCCCTTATATCTTACACAGAGACTCGCTTTCCTTCCGGTCGGGTTCGTCCCTAATTACGTTTTACGTTTAGTATGGATTTCTGAGAGATGACATATTTTTTCGCAGTAAAAAGTATCCTATAAGTTGATCCGCATAACTAGCTATCATCATACAAAATTTCATCAAAATCCGTCCAGTGGTTTTTCCGTGATGCTGTCACAGACAGACAGACAGATAAAAATGCTAAAAGTATAGGCTCTACTCTGTATCGATAATAATGTATATATTTCAATAAGATTTTCCAAAAAATATTTAATGTACAGATTCGGCTTAAGTACAATTTTATTATATGTATGTAGACATGGTGTATGACTCACCAGTCTTAAATTTTACACATGACATGCCCTTATTTCTAAATGTTAGTATTAAAATATAACTATATCAGACTACTCTAACTATATATGCGAAAGTTTGTGTGTGCGTATGTTTGTTACTCCTTCTCGTTGAATCCGCTGGACCTATTTGGATGAAATTCAGTACACAGATATGAATTGTATGTCCAACAGGGACGAAGGCGAGTGGGGCTCCAGCAACTGCAAGGCCACGGTGCTCGTGTTCCGCGAGGGCGAGCGCGTCAACCTCGTGCGCGTGCGCGAGAACCGCGACGGCACCTACTCCCCCCTCGACCATGCCAAGTGTGAGTGCTTTTTACTATGTGTTGGGTTAACTTAACTTAACTTTAAATAAGGTAGAGGTTATTTTATTTTCTTATTACTCGGTATTTAAGTTTGTGGTTATGTTTTTTTTTTAATTTTAATAAAGAGATTTTGAAGTAAGTTTACTTTTTTGCTTAAAAAAAAATTGTATTATTTGTCTAACAACATTTTTCATATAAGAAGGTGGAATACCTGTTCATTTTGCGGTATTTTTCAAAGAGCGATTTGTGAATAGTGTTTTGTTTCGTAAACGAAACAAAGACTGGACAGATTGGGATGAAACATTTTACGGACTAGACAGACTACTACGGACATAGGGTACGACGTTAAGCCGGGCTGAAGCTAATAGATACATCGGGAAGCACGAGGTGTACCATGCTAGTTGCTTCAGTACTACACTTACACACTTTGATTGTTTCGGTCCTTCTCGGCATGCAGCCGTTAAGCGTCGTGGTTTAGGAAGGAGGAGGAACTCAGCATGGTAAAGTCGCAGTAAACCTAGACGATAGCTCAGTTGCTTGCTACTTGCTGAGCCAGCGGTCGCGGGTTCGAGTCCCGCTGGGGGCCTTCATTTGTGTGATTAGCACGAATGTTTGTACTTTAGCCATGGATGTTTATCTTTATAATATGTATGTATTTTAAGTGTGTAGTGTACCAATTATCCGATATTCATAACACAAGCCTCGTAGCTTACCATGGAACTAGATGCTGCTGTGTGTTAATGTCTCAACATATTAATTATTAGCGGCTCACCCTCGCTTCGCTCGGGTTTGTCCCTAGGTACATTTTTATTTTTTTGAGTGGAACTCTAATTATTTTACTGAAATAAAAGTATCCTAAGTTACTCCTTATAACATCAACTACCTGCCACTAAAACTCGTCAAAATCGGCCCAGCCGTTTCAGAAATTAGCCGGAAGAAACAGACAGACAAACAGACAAAAAATTTCAGAATTGTGTTTTTCTTATAAATCCATATGCATTTAGTAAAAAGCTGTTATTTTGACATTACAAACAGACACTTCAATTTTATTTATCTGTATAGATTATTATCAGTTATTATCAGTATTATTTTCTATATGTTTTGCCGTGTTTGCAGACTCGTCGAGCAGCGGCACGCGGCCCGCGGCGCGGGCGCCGGGCGCGGGCGCGGCGGGCGGCGGCGCGCTGCGCGAGAACGCCGTGACGATGGGCAAGATGCTGGAGCTGCGCCGCCGCATGGAGACCCTCTCCGTGCAGCGGCGCGCCGCGCGCGGCGTCGGTGAGACTCGCACACACGACATGGATCAAAAAAGTACTAGATACACAATCAGCGACAAAAAATGTCTTCACCGAATGAGCGTACATTTCAATATTTGAGCGCGCTTTTAAATTTTTTTTTGTGAAAACAACTTTAAGCATTGCATTTAAGGTACAATTTACATTGTTGTATATTTATTTTAACTGGAATAATAAACTAAACACAATTGGTGACAGTTTTTAAAAGAACTTTTGTAGGGAATTGTGTATCTAGTATTTTTTTTATAGATGACACTCACACGTACCTTATATATACGCACATACGCACTCACATACAAGTTTCGGAACCGGTTAAAAAAAAACAGTTTATTTCGTTAATTTAATGGTTAATTCAGCACTCGTTGTTTAACTGATTATTAAGAACGGTATATTAAACCAAAATAAATGGCTATTCTTAGAGACAGGTTAAACTTCGGTTTTGATACCGAAATAAATCGAATTTTAATAAAAAGCGTACATGTATCCTTCTACTACGCAAATCACCATTAACAAATATTCACTAAATGTGACAAAAAAAACGCACAAAAAATAATTTTAACCGGTTAATTTCGGTCATGGAACCTAAATTCGTCAAAAATCCATCTCCCGGGTTTTAACCGATTAAAGGACGTAACCGAAACCTTCAACCAAAAAGCCTTTTGGTTTGGGGTCAATGACCAAAACCGATTTAAAAATAGAACGGGTTTCCGAGCCCTGTTTACACACATATAAAACTGGTAAAAATTTAGCTAAAGGCTAGGTTACACTATTATGGTTTTACATTAAATTAAACAGTAAAAGTGTTTATATAGTTTATTTGAATAAAATATTTTTTATTGTACAAAAGAGTGGCTTAAACATCTATTAAAAATTTATATAGACTCCACTTTAACTGGACTCAAAGTTTTGGACACGATGTTTTTCCTATCCCTCAGTTGCAAGTATGGAATGCGACCCACATTTTTTATCATTTTTCATTATTTAACTGCTTAATTATCTAACGGTTCACATGAAACTCCAGTTTATTAAATTTTAGTTATATACCTCTGATAGTCTGTAAGTAAAATGTCTGTGATATATAAATAAATAAATATGTTGGGACGTTAACAGACAGCGCCATCTATTTCCATGGTAAGCTACGAGGCTTGTGTTATGGATACCAGATAGTTGATACACTACACATATAACTTGAAATATATACATATTATAAAATATATAAACACCCATGACTGGAGTACAAACATTCGTGTTCATCACACAAATGAATGCCTCGAGCGAGATTCGAACCCGCGACCGCTGGCACAGCAAGTAGGGTCAACTGATCTAAACGTGTCGTCAAATATATAAACACGGATATGACGAAATTATAAAAGTTTCGTTTTCGCGTTTGGCCTATGGAACCCTAAAATAAAAGGCCTTTACACAACCTGTATTACTTATGCACCACAAAATTTATTACCGGTAATTTAATCAAAATTTATTGCCTCCAGGTGACAAGCGAGACATACAGAAGACACGAAGTGAGGAAACTTTATCCGTCCCTAGTTTATTAGATGAAGCCCAGGACTTCGGCCCCCGGACCTACACCACGTACGAAGACACCTTCACACCATTGTACGATGGGAACTACACAAGATATGACTACGATTGTTCCTTCTCCGATAGATACACATTACTGCCACCTATCGGACGGACAGACTCTGACCAATCAATTCAAGACTCCATATCAGATGAGAGAATCAAACTGACTGATGCATTGTCTGGATCGATTTTGGTAAAGTCCAAGGCGAATGAAGAAGCCATTTTGGAGGAGTGCCTTGATAACGATGAGTGTTTAAGGCAGGACTCTCCGCCGTTGACTGCGAAGAATTTGGCTCCAATACCTGCAGCTGAATATGGTTTGTATATTGTTAAGTATACAATTCAATTGGCTTCTAAGCGTGCTAGTTGAGCACAGGTTTTCGCCAATGTCACCTAATGGAGGAGATATAAAAGAGATTTTTAAGTACTCAATTCATTTTTTTTGTGTCTTTTGGCGAGTGCCATTTGGACACACTTTACTTCACTAGTTTGTTGAATAATGAATTAATATCTGTTTTTTCATTACTCTTGCCTTTTTAATTTTTATATTAATATATAAATGTCAATATTAATGTATTGTATTGAGGATCTTATTGTTTTATATTTAGCTTAACTTTTATTCTTCAAGGTAGTAGATAGACGAGGTTAATTAATTACAAATTAAATAAAGACGAGGTTACGATAGTGTAATAGAATGGTGCATGAATGTTTGAATGTTTAATTGTCTAAGAAGAATGAATGGTGAATGATTTTTTCATTAATTATAATATTTTTTTCTAGTGGTAGTGGTAGCTTAGTAACATGTTTGTTTGGGAAGCCGAGTGATGTGGGTTCAAAACCCGGGACCCGCATTTTTTATATTTTCATGTGCGTGTTGTTTTCAAAATTATTACCACTTTTTTTAAGGTGAAGAACATTGTGAAGGAATTTGCTTATCTAAAAGTATGTAGCAAGTTTTCGAAAGACATGCTCAGTTCGCCCGGACTTGTCCATTGTAGTGTACTATTGCCTGATCCCTCATATTGAAGGGAGGCCCACGCCCTACCAATGAGACGAAAGGGTTTGACGACACGTTTGGATCCGTTTGTAGTGACTGTACTTGCTGTGTCAGAGTTTGCGGGTTCGAGTCCCGCTGGGGGCATTCATTTGTGTGATGAGCACGAATGTTCGTACTCCAGTCACGGGTGTTCATATTTATAACATGTATGTATTTAAAGTTATATATGTGTAGTGTATCAAATATCTGGTATTCATAACACAAGCTATTGCCATGGGACTAGATGGTGCTGTGTGCTAATGTCCCAATATATTTACTATATTATTATTATTGCAGGCGGCGTAGTGGCGGGCGGCGCGGGCTGGCGCGTGGCGCGCTCGGCGTCGGCGCTGCCGGTGCGCGCGCCGCTCGGGGACGCGCTCTTCTCCTCCTCCACCTCCGACCTCGAGACCCTCAAGCGCAACAGGTGATCTCTATATACATATGTATCTCTGTGTACACATTTTTATATAACAACTATTTGTTGCTTCCCTATACAAACTTTCATCACCATTTTCATACCCTTAGGTAATGATTTCCGGGACTAAAACCGGATCTCAAACAATCTTCTTACCAAATTTCATCTAAATTGAATCAGTAGTTTCAGAGTCTATTCGATACAAACTAAAAAACAATTTTTTTCTCCTTATAATAGAAGAATAGATAATCTCATTAAAACTAGACATATACACATAAAATGTTATAATACACATGTGTACGCGCAAACACAACGAACACAACCAGTGAGAAACCAGTTGCACAGAAATGTAAGCGCCAAATTCCCAATATTGGACTATTGCATAGAATTTCTATACACAAAAATTCGATAGCGGTACTTAACTCAACCCAAAATTGGAACATTAGGTAAAACACCATGCACACATCCACACAAATGAGCAACAACATGGTATTCTTTATTCGTTTATTTGTTAGCTACATATGTTTATTGACTTTGCTATGCATTTGTTCATGTTGCTGCATTTTGACATATAAAAATAAATAAACTATTGAAAAATACATAATTAATTGCTTGTATAATAATTTTTTAACCAAAATATTGGCCAACCTCCGTGTCTTAAGGTCACCACTATTCAAAACATCTTCTATTCTTTGTTGAACAGTCCCAAAATTATGGCATAAATAAAGACTTCAGATTATTATTTAAACAGATATATAAAATTGAAGTGTCTATTTGTAATGTCAAAATAATAGCTTTTTACTAAATGCACATGGAATTATATACGGTATTTATTAGAAAAACTTTCACTGGCAGGTAGTTGATGTTATAAGAAGTAACATAGGCTACTTTTATTTCAGTAAAAGAATTAGGGTTCCGCTCAAAAAAATTAAAATGTACCCAGGGACGAACCCGAGCGAAGCGAGGGTGAGTCGCTAGTGTTATCATATTTATAAAATATTATTAAAATACATTTTTATAAAATAATAAAATAAATTGACAGGATCTTGCCAGCTCTGAGCCGCCACCGCAACAGGGAGCACCTGCACCTCAGCGACGAGGGCCTGGACCTGTCGCGCCACGAGCCGCCGCGCAGCCTCGAGGTCGGCAGCGAGAGGCGGCAGAGGAAGATAGACAAGATCAATGAGGACCGCATCGGCGCCGAGGAGAAGGTGGAGAAAGTGGAGAAGGAGAAGAAGATGAGCAGAGTGCGGTGCGGCCTCTGCAGGAAGCGGCTGAGCATCGCCACGGTGCACCGCTGTAGGTGTGGCGCTGCCTTCTGTGCGCCCCATCGCTATGCCGAGGCCCACGGCTGCGCCTACGACTACAAGAGAGCCGCCCCCCTGCCAGACCTGTAGCCTGTAGCCTGCAGCCACACATCACATACACAACAGTCTACTAATCCATACAGTGTAACGAAGCCCCCTAGATAAGACAAAAATGGGAACAGGTGCTCCCGACTGTCATACATACTTTTGTATGGTAGTCGGCAGACGGGTTTAGGGTTGACAGAAGTTAACTTTGATTAAAGATCCATTCGCCGTGTAATTTTTTTTGACAACTCTAGCGTTTCCGTTAAAATCAATGGATCTCGCCTACTGTATGGATTTTTATATTGTGACACTACACTCACACACTTTCTTTTAGCACACATTTTTTTTTGGATTTTGTGTTTTTTTTTTTCTTTTTTTTTATATCGGTTCTGTTAATTAAAATGTTTTTTTTTATTTTGTCCAATCAATTTCAATTGTCGTTGTGTAATTTATTTTTTTTAATCTGACTAATGAATTATTTTTTCTTTATTAATTATTCACTTTCGTTATTTGGTGTATTTGATTTTTTCTTTTTTTTTTGCTTTCACAAGTTTTTTGTATAAAACGGTAACTATTATTCCAACGAATAAACCCATGTACTATAGAATACAATTGTTGATAGTTATAGTTATTAACGTCAAGTGTCTTATCTCGCTTTTGATTTGCTTCATATCATTTTCTATATCTAGTAATTTTTTTTTGAAACGCACAGATGTCTAATATTTACATTATTGTCGCATACTGATGTTATGTCAATGTCAAAGTGACATTACAAAAGAGTACGGACATGCCAGTATTAATATGCATGTCCATATTCTGTATAATTTTTTTAATAATATTTTTGTTACACTGCTAATATGCAATCAGAAACAAGTTTTTTATGCTATATCTGTTTTTTTTATATAATAAATAAAAATTGTATTTGTAAAGATGTCTGTGCGGTTCGTTACAAAGTAATTGATAGTATTTTGTCATATTCTGTGGGACGTTTGGACTTTCGTACTTGCAAGGTTTTTCGAGTTACATTCATACTTGTTTGACGGATCTCGCTACATTTTATTTTCTAAAATTTTCGCGAGTCCGTGAGTTTGAACGAATTGTGATATACATTGACCTAAATTAAGATAAAAATGTTGATCATCCGCCATGTGTGTGTTTTCGTAATTAAAATATAATTGAAGAAAATTATCAAAAAAAAATTATATAAAATAGATGGTAAACATTATAAATACTCTGTCTTAGTTAATCGGAGGTGCTTTGTGCTAGCTCACTTTATATTTCGTTGTATAATTCGTGTAATGTTGATAGAGACGCGGTTGGAGGTAAGCGGGGTCATTCATACGACCGGACATAATTTAGTTTAGATACATACATACCTCAAAAATATATTAAAATTATTAATAATTAAGTAAATAATGCCTTTAATGTTACATAAAGGATATTTGACAAGATTTCCTCCAGTCCCCCAAGTCTTATCTGCGTCGGAATTAGATTAAATGCTTGTAATAGTTTGGAATGTGTATACTGTGGCCATTGCGCCGGGCGATGTTAACGGTCTAGATATATTTTGTTTGTAGTTCATCATTTAATTCATTATATTTATAAGGCCCTATATCAAGGTCCGTTCACAGAAAATATTTTTTAGATTTTAAAAATTAAATTGCATAGAGTAAAACGGTACAAATAATATATAAATGTTTATATATTGTTTAAGCTACTCGAAATATTCTGTTTTTTTTTAAATATTTTTAATAATATTTAAAATGGAGATGTTTTTATTTTGAATGTCAGTTCGAGTTGAAGGGACCTCGATATATATAAATGCCTTGCTAATTTGTATTCATATTGTACTCTGAGTATGTAAATTTATTTTTGTATTGTCTATAATAATATTGATTTCACTAACCATTACAATTACCGTATATTACAGATTAAAAATATTATTGTTCACATGTTTTTTTAGATTATATGATATTTTCTCCGGCTTCTGTTATTTTATTATAATGCCATGGTTCCGTAGTAAAGAGTTTGTAGTGATGGATGTGTCACTGGAATAGGTACTTAGTGCATTTGTTTGTTGAAATTTACAAAAAAAAAACAATATAAAAAAAGTGGCATTGGCTTTCTCTATTAAAAATCTATAATGTACTGTAGTTGTATAACAATATATTGGATTGCTTTGATTCTTGTTAAACATATATTTTATATGAAAAAAATATATTTTGAATCATAACCTTATTATATTATTTGGGAATAATTTTCTTTCAACTCGTCATAAAGTAAGTTCCTATTTCAAAGTAAATTGTCCGTGGCTGCAGACTGAAAAAATTGACAAGTTATATATTTCTGGTATTAGGGGAAAAGTGTAAGTGCTAATTTATAAAAGGGAATATGCGTGTTATTTAAATAAAGATGAAAATTTTTATATATATATATATATATATATATATAAAAATATAATGTAATTACTTTTGGTTAAGAAAATAATTATTAAAAAGTACAAATATAAGTGAGAATTTCAAAGTAGTTTAAACGCACGTCATTAGTCAGACTGAATATGACGTCAAAGTATTATCATAACGGCGAGTAGCGATTTTGTCGCTACAAACTAAAGTCGTTATTCTCCTTCATGATATACTGTAACGTCACGCCAAGCGCACGAAATGGCGGGCGCTTAAAGTACCCGTACCGGTATATTTTTAATTTTTATACTAAATTTTAGTTTTTTGGAGCTGGATATTTTATTGTATTTATATAACGATGTTAACTATTGTATGAGAAATTTAAAAAAAATCACGCATGTTCCCTATTATACACATTTTTATTACAGTAAAAGTGTATTGTAAATTATTTGTTATTCCATATAGTATTAGAAAGTTTTTACAGAATACCATTTTTTTTGCTAAATAACTAGTAAAATATTTAAAAAAATGCAACTAAGTCTCTTAGTACACTATAACCGTATTCCCATTTTTTGGAATTAATCGGGGCCTATTAGCATTAGGGGTTTTTGTGTAATTTGGTGACAGTATCTCGAGTTCCATGTTTTTACCGACTGTAAGAAATTGTAAATTTATAGGCATAAGGTTATTGGTCTTTCTATAATGGCTAAATTGGTAGTGAATGAAAAAATATGTGTCGACACTCAAAGGTATTATAACTCTGCATTAGGTCAATTCAATAATAACAATTATCCCCTTCTATATTTTTTTTAAGTTGACCTTTTACTGAATTAAAATGGTTCTTTTTAAATAAAACTATCTTTTCGGATGATTTCGCGGATATATTTTGATTTTTGGTTCCCAAAACTCCCGTTCCCGGTTCCGTTTGGGGAACCAAAAATCAAAATAAAAATAAATCCGCGAAATAATCCGAAAAGATAGTTTTATTTAAAATGTCAAATATTCGCGTAAATCTAAGAAAGTATTAAAATGGTTCTTTTTATTTTTAAAATTAGAAAATATATTAACTTGCCAAGTTATTCACGCTGGAAAGCACATTGTTGAACATATTGGATTCGATCAACTGATATACACCCTTTTTAAATCAATTTACGGCATTTGTCTTATTTTTAGCGAATCAAAATTTTGGTAAAGTACTAATCTCGTTAACAATTAATAAAAATACATTTACGGGGCCGCCATCTTTAAAATTCGATTCCGTCATGATATTTCTTTGAATTGTATATTATATAAAAAATTAAACATTTTGTCCGTATCATAGGATTGTTTTTTTATTTCCTGTTAAAAATAAGCAAAGAGTTCTATATTAACTATAAAAATATTTTTCGCAATATTTCAAAGTAAATCTTTTAATTAATATTTCGTGAAATATGTTTAATTATTTTATACATTTTCGAAAAATATACCTACATAACTAATTAATAATTATATGTGTAAATCCGTCCTTTTAGACACAAACTAAGAAAAAAGAAGAAAAAGATGGCAGCCCCAGAAACAAAGTCCTGACCCTGAGATCATAAGACTTGATGTCACTTCATGGGAGTATATACTATATAATAATCTGTAAATAAGATTTGTTTGATTGATTTAAAACACCTTATACCTTACACATTGGACTATATAATAATAAATTAAAAAAAAAAACAGTAATTTTCATTTTTAAGTATTTGTGTAAAATATCATTTTCAACAATTATTATTATTTTGATTAACAAACTTTAAAAAATGCTTAATTCAACTTGTAACATAACGAGTAAAAGAGGGATGTTATGAGTTTCTCCCTGATGAGAAAATTCTTTCTATTTTTGTTAAAAACTAGCGTTAGGTATATTTCCTTCTGGCAAATCCAAGGACAAGCACAATAACAATAAAATAACTAGTAACTACTTTTTCATTCTACAAAGAAAAGAAAATAATAAAGAATATGAAATTAACTTAAATCTTAATCAATTCTTTTGTAAGCCCTTTTGAATCGTAAACAAAATATGTATACAGGTAAATGTAAATATTTAAATCTATACATATAATAAAATTGTAACTAAGCCGAATCTGTACATTAAATAATTTTTTCGAAAATCTTATTGAAATAGAGGTTATTATCGATACAGAGGTCGAATCTATATTTTTTAGAATTTTTGTCTGTCTGTCACAGAAAAACCACTGGAGGTATTTTGATGAAATTTGGTATGGTGATAGCTGGTTATCCGGGTCAACATATAGGATACTTTTTACCGCGGGATCTCATTTCTGAGAAAAAATACAAAAAGTGCAATGTAAGAGTATACTAATATGTAGAACTAAGAACTTGGTTTTTGGTCATCTGAATGCGGGCGAAGCCGCAGGCAATGCTAGTAAATAAATAAAAATTATCCATCCATCCAATATTATAAGCTTGAAGTGTCCCATTGCAGGGCATTGAGCGTATCTCTCGAAATCGTGCTAGGTTTCCTCACAATTTCCTTTACCGTAAGACAAATAATAATCATAATGAAAATAATTCGCATATGTAATAATTATACCAAGCACAAGATTTCACTTGGTTTCTCAAGCGAGCGCGTTACCACTGGACTACCTAATGCAGTCATATAATAATAAGTACCTACTCGTTATTTATTGATTAGCGTTTGGATCCTTGCTTGCAATTATTAAAGTTTTTGGAAAATAGATTTGGGTTTGAAAATAAATATACATCATGAAATATAATAGCTTTTATTACAACACTTAAGTACTACTTGTAGCTATACAATGTTCCCATATATAATTTACAATTAAAATTAATTTGGGATGAGTTCAGATGGATGACATATTAACATTTTAGTTTTTTAAATAACATATTATCAAAAATGTTAGTACCTACATCAAATTAATAAAAAAAGTTTTGTAATGAGCTTACTAAGTTACGTAATATTGGAATATTTTGTCGATTTTGTAAAAAAATGTTTTCAAACGTCAATCTTTTCTAATCTGTATTTTTACCCAGATTGAATTGCTTTTTTTAAATCGATTATTGGGAGAATAATAATATACCTAAATTATAAATGAAACTGTCTTCGGATTTTTTTGTGGACTTATTTTGAATTTTAGTTCCCTAACCAAACCAAAAATTAAAAGAAAAAAAAACCGAGAAAAAATCCGAAAGGTAGTTTTAACTGAAATGTCAAATATTTGCCTAACTCTAAGAAAGTATGTACTTAAATTAATTATTATTTCTATAAAACGATTCCGCGGGAAATATATATTAGAAAAAACTCTAACATTACCATCTAAACACAACAAAACAACTTACTTCATAAATAACAGAAACTAGAACTAACAACAATAAATATAATATGAGATATACATCTTTCTAAAACCATTGGCACATTTATATAATCATAGTATTTCATTAAAAACTAATTTATAAATAAATTACTTATAACTACACTGTCACGATTCGAATCCGTTAAAATAAGTATTTTTAACAACTATGTATTATAAATAAATATATAAATATCAAATCGAAACAATACTGAGCCGTACAATTTGGCACTATTAAGAACTTTGTACGTGCATATATTATATTATACATACAAGCGATTTACCCTCCTTTTGCTCGGGTACGTTTTTATTTATTTAGCGGAATCCTAATTCTTTTTTCTAAAATAAAAGTAGCTTAGTTACTCCTTATAACATCAGCTATCTGCCAGTGAAAGTCCCATTAAAATCAGTCCGTATCGGGGATTAGCCAGAACAAACAGACATACAGACAAAAATTCAAAAAAAAGTGTTTTTCTTATAAATACCACATATATTTTAATATGCATTTAGTAAAAAGCTATTTCTTTAACATTACAAACAGACACTTCAATTTTATTTATCTGTATAAAAAGTGCAGATACATACTAAGTTTTATAGATGAAGGGCTGGAGAATGACACAGACTTTTGACCGCGGGGGATTATCTCATTCCCACGGGAAAACACGTTATAATACAATCCAAAAAAATATTTATGATCAGGATTATTTGAAACTTGTTAATAATGCTCTTCAATACAGTTAAATAACTACGTATTTTAGCATTTTTCAAAATTGGCGAGCAAAGCCGCGGGTTATGGCTAGTAATACACAAACCATTCAGTTATAACTTATAACCTCACGACACCTGATCATCAGTCTCCCGGAGCAAAGACTCGAATATAGCGATAAAATTATCGAGACCCTCCTTGAAGTTTTCATCCACTGAAGCTTCATCTTCATCGAAGAACGCGTGGGCGAAGTCGATTATCTTGACTGTTCCCCAGGGGTTGGGGGTGGGCGAGTCGCTGGAGAGCTGGTCAAGGACTGCTCGGTAGTTCATTTTGATTTTGGACAACTTGTCCTCGTAATTGTGCTCGAAGGAGTGGTTGTGGTTAAGTTTGTCCAGGGCCTCCGTCCAGGGGGACTTGATGGGGGGGTGAGGGGAGAAGGAGGTCTGTGCCAGGGTGAGGGGGGCTAGGGGGACCGACTGCACCTTCTTGTAGATGGGCCCCTTCGAGGATAGCTGCCCGCTGAAGTTGGAGCCCGAGCCTGAAGTGGGGTGCAGCGAGTGTATGGACCTGCGGCGCGGCGCCGGCGGCTGCTGGCAGCTCGCTGGGGAGAATCTGGAACGTACGATTTTATATATATACTATACGTTTTAAATATATATAAATAGTTATAATAATATTGACAAATATTGACATTAATATTTATACAGGCAATTTTTAAAATTTTTCTCTCCGTAATATATATATATATATATATATATATATATATATATATATATATATATATATACATTTTTTATTATATTTTTTTCCAAACGTGCCAAAAGAAGTATTACTTCAAAATCATCGACATTCATGTTTTCTATTTGAGTACAACACAACATACTGAGGATTATCGCAAATGCCCCCTGGTTCACGAGGAACGACAAGATACATGAGTATCGGAATATTGCAACAGAAATAGAACGCTATAAAAAACTGTACAGCGTACGTCTTGCCCATCGCCCCAATCCACTTGCTTCTGGATTGCTCGACAACGCCAACGTGGTTAAGAGGCTGAAAAGAAACCACGTACTTTGAGTAGACAGCGAGGCACCGGCCTTGCTGCTCTATCGGTCATTACTTACCGGTCAACCTACCTGCTTATAGTTTGGCCCCTAATTGTAGGGGACTACCGCAAAAAAAAAAGTTTTCTATTTTGGTATAATTTACGAAACGAGATGGCAATATATTATTATTTATTAATTTTCCATATTCTATTAGAAAAAATATTTTCGTTTAGGGCATTACTTACTATTGTTTAAACGATTATTACACTAATGTTATAAAAATGTAAAAGCTTGTTAGTGTGTTTAATGTTATTATTTTACCTCGAACCAGTTCCGTGGATTGATATATGGGAATGAAAATAGCTTATATTTTAACTTAGCACATCGGCTACTTTTTATTGATGTTCGACGAATAAATTCATATATTTCATATAAAATCCACGTAGCATTATAAAATCGGCAATTCGTAAATGGATCGTAGAGTATGTTATATTAAGAGTGTGTTGGAGGCAACATGGCGCTCACCTGGCGGGCCCGGCGTGTCCGGGGTCGCAGCAGGCGCGCAGGCGCGCCGCGTCGTACACGAGCAGCAGCGAGGCGGCGTAGAGGCGCAGCGGGCGCGCGCGCGCCGCCCAGCGCCGCGCCGCCCACAGCGCCGCCACCAGCTGCATCAGCAGCGCGCGGCACAGGCACCCCGACACACCGTTCAGGAAGTTGCGCACCGCTGCCGAGACGCACCGGGGATCCGTCATTATACCTTATTACTGTATTGTGATGCTATGTGTCTTAGCCTATGTGTTACTCGAATCATTACTGTTGAAATGTATCTAAAATAATCTTTTTATATACAAAGCAGTGACCTCTACTTTCATACTTTCTATATTGTAATATTTGCTAAATTATCTGTGTAGTACAGTATTATATGATCTGTGGTCATATCTTTGTTAGATTGTCTGTACCATGTCTATTCGAATATTATAGTTCTTTTTGAATCTCAACGCGGTCGTTTTATTAGAATTACCTATCTGGTTATTGAATTTCATCCAAATCCAGCCGATTCAACGTACAAAAGTAATAAACACATACATACGTAGATATTATATATACACATATACCCATACAAATATCCACATTTATATACCTATCACGCAACAACAGCAGAGCATAGCCCCCTCAATACTCAATACGAGGAAGAACACCATAGTATACTACAGGTCACATGCGAGCTTCATCTTTCGGAAACTTGTTAGGTTCTCTCCGACATGCTAACTTACTCACGATATTTACCTTTAACTTTATTCGAAAAGAGGTTTTCACAATGAAATGTCAAGAGGAAAAAACGATTTCGCGACAGTTTTTAGATAGACGCAATTTTATCTTTTCAAATAGTTTTTCGATTTTTATTGCGCATATGTATTAAGGCATTACAAAACTTTTTTACATCGAGCTGATCTGACTATGGAGATAGGTGATTGTGGTGAAACTCTTAATTTTCAACAGTAAAACCGTCAAATTTGACGGAAATTCATTTTATTCGACGCCTCTATAATCTATATTATTACAATTGATGTATATGTTTAGTTGCGTACATATGTATATAAAACCATATATTATCAGTAAAGCACTCACCCGCTCTAACCATGGAGCCGTGTAACTTTTTTCCATATTCCTTGTTGTACTTCTGTAGTTTCCCGTTGGCCAGTTTGTACACCTGGTAGCCGGGGATGCAGAATCCGTACTCTTCTTTACACTCTTTATATTTGCTTTGTTCTTTCTTGATCTTCTCTTCTGTTGCAAGAGGATCCCATGTTCTTCTACCTGTGAGAAAATACTTATGCTTGATCATTCATCCCTTTAAACGTCCCACTGTTCGTGCTCTCCATACGAAAAAGAACAGGCTATAGTCCATCCCCTGCACGACTGAAAAGACTAGACTTGTTATCGGAAGACGTGAAGTCCGTCATCCCACACTTGGGCAGCGTGGCAAACCTGGCCTGCTATCCTCGTATTGAAGGGAGGCCTGTGCCCAGCAGTGGGGCATTAAAAACGCCTGAATAGATACAAACATACACCTGCTATACAATAAGCTTACCAATTTTAACATCCATGATACACGGCTCCAACATCCTCTCCGTGAGATCCTCTAACATTATATACTCTTGTTCATAGCCGTTGTACGTAAATTTTTGGGTTCCATAATATTTGGGTATTAATTTTCTAAGTTCTATCAAATCGGGGTCAGTCGACGTGAACACTTTGTTGTAGAATTCCACTTCCCTTTGCTGGGATTCTTTTAGGATCGGCTTAAAAACTCTTCCATTGCTGCATTGAAGTAAACCTATAATTTTAAAAAGAAATATTTTAATTTTGAACCTGAAAAAATCTCTAATCAGATCTCCCTGTACTGTACATTTATGTGACTATGTGTATTATTTAGGTCCGATCGAGGAGTCCTGTTTTCGAGTTCAGAACGCAGGAAGAGAACCCAGGACTTCAAGCAGCTGTACATGCTATCCACTAAACTAAAGAGACAGTTATGTAGATGTACACATAATTACCCAAATATCTAGTTTCCGTCGCGTCGTTCTTGTGTCCAGCCACCTGAAGCTCGTAGGCCTGCACCTGTAGCGGCGCGGTCGGCACCACGAGGGGCTTCGCCATCACCTCGTTTTCGTGTGGACGCAGGTTGTAATGTACCTGTAGGGGTATTTTTATTCCTTATTTTTAGAAGGGTTTGATCATAGAAACCATGCCACCCTTATAGAAATTACAACAAAAATCTTATCTATTCTACTTTTTTATACAAATTGAATAATTTTATACAGTACCCGTGCTTGATGCGATAAGGGTGAAGCAAGAATGTTGTTGCAATCACCAAGCTGGGATATTGTTAAATACCTATTGTTCATAATGAAATATTTTGAACAATTCATTGATTTGTTACTTTAAAATAACCAAGAAACTTCAGAAAACGGACTACTCGTATATTGTCATTCGATAAGTTTTATGGTAAAACCGTATCTATGAATCATTACGTGAAAACTAAGTACTAGTATATTATAGATCTGTGCTAGAGCTGAGGACCTGAGGATTGTCTTAACATATACTATGGACACAAAATTGTAATCACGTAGTATAGGTAGATTGCCTTATCTTGGTATCGAATTCAGGACCATCGCCTTCTGTAATGCACCTTTACTAAGTTTCAGCCTTTACTGTTATTTATTGTTGTAATAAAAAACTAAATATGATTCGATGTAAAATGAGTCAGCTTTTATTACAAGTATCCAATAATTGCACATTTTATAAGCAGGAGCAATAAAGATAGGCAGTTTGATTGTAAGAGCACTTTAAAAGTAACAATCATATATCTAAACATTTCTCATCCAGAATTTTGCATTGAAAATGTATCTATTATATTTAATATCGAGTAGTAAAGTGCTTCAGTTACTTTTGGCCATAAGGCACATTTAGTATTTAAACTTACAATCACAAAAGAATTAGGCAACGCCTCGTTTCAGTGCATCATAAACTATTCAGTACATACATAAGGTATATATATTTATTTTTATATGTATACAACATATGAAAATCTATAGATATAATAAAATTCTGAGTCGAATCTGTACATTAAATATTTTTTGGAAAATCTTATTGAAATAAACATTATTATCGATACAGAGGCCGAATGTATAGTTTTTATAATTTCTGTCTGACTGTCCATGACCGCATCACGGAAAAACCACTGGAGGGATTTTGATGAAATTTGGTATGATGATAACCAGTTACCCGGGTCAATATATAGGATACTTTTTACAGCGGGAAAATATTTTAATAAACCAAAATCTATACTAAACGTTAATATATAAATCTTAGAAATAAATTATTGTTTTTAAAATAGACGACCAAGCTCTACTGTAAATTACAACAAGTATTGGTATTTTTAACGAAAACGACGACGACGACGAAATTCCAATCATATGGTTGCGAAATAAAGGGAAGTCCACACAAGGATGTTAAAAAAGCTTACTAAAACGTCACTATATAGAATTAATCATTATTTCAATACGTACTCACCATCACTATAAAAGATTTATATATGTAATCTAAATTCTAAACTAAATAAGGCGTTTAGTTTACTTCTTACATCTAACCGCAACCTAATCATTAGACCTTGGTGACCGCAAATTAAATAAAATACAATCATTCTTCTCAATCACAAACACTTTTAACCGACTTTAAAAAAAATTGTTTACTTACCGGACGGTTCTAAGCTTATATCAGTATAACTCCGATAAAAGAACATATCATCATTCATATAATAGATTTCTGAGAGATATCGTATGTTCATCAAAACATCGTGAAAACCGTCAAACGTGAATTGGGGTTATTATATCTAATAAGTACGAGCAAATATTGAAATCAATTCAATAAGCTAAATCAAACTTAGCTAAGTGGTAACGCGCGAAGTTCGCATGCGGGCAATTGGCCAGCGTGGTGGACTATGGCCTGATCCCCCTCGTATTGAAGGGAGATCCGTGCCCAGCAGTGAGACGTTAAAAAGGGCCGAATATAATACGAAATGTTGAAAATTTCTACTTATTTTAGTGCTAGATTCTAAGATCGGTACGAGATTAATAAAGTAAAATTACATACACTCTCAGCTCCCCATCTTAATAAAATAAACGAAAGAATTTTTGATAATTCGCAGACATAATTAATCAAAAGACAGCAGACGATGCTGACAATACAAATAAGCCAATATATATATAAAGTTTAACGGTCATTCTATACGTGACGTCTACTCTATTCTACGTGACATTGTCGAAGTATAATCTATCTATACATATAATAAAATTGTAACTAAGCCGAATCTGTACATAAAATATTTTTTGGAAAATTTTATTGAAATAAACATTATTATCGATACAGAAGCCGAATCTATAGTTTTTAGAATTTTTATCTGTCTGTCTGTCTGTGACAGCATCACGGAAAAACTACTGGTGAGATTTTTATGAAATTTGGTATGTTGATAGCTGGTTATCCGGGTCAACATATAGGACACTTTTTACCGCGGGAAAATATCTCATTTTTTTGAGAAAAAATACAAAAACTGCAATGTTTGAGAATACTGAATATGTAAAACCTAAGAATTTGGTTTTTGGTCATCTGAACGCGGGCGGAGCCGCGGGCAATGCTAGTAAATAAATAAAAGTAAATTATGCCCAAATGTCACTTATAAGAGCCATTGAATAAGAGATTTGAATTAAATTGTATAAATAAAATGTTTACCTGATAAATCGATCTGTTTCGCCGCAACTGACGCGTTTTCTTAGGTCTTTCGGTGACATCACTCATTTAGTTTATTTCCTGGAACAATAAAACACTTAATATATGAGTCAAAACGGTCTATTGGATTGACCGTCTTCTTGAGAAAACCTACGCACTTTTCGAGAAAACTTTTTAAAACATACAAGAGTGAGGTTCTTTATAATGCGAGGTATTAAATGTAATATGAATGCCGACTAGATGAAGTTTATAGCCGTCCAAAGAATATGGCAAGCAACAAAAGTACACAATAAAAATACTATTTAATATGTATTCGATTATTTTTGGTGGGTAGATTGTAAAAATTACTTAATCAATTTATAGTGCCTGTCAAATAATAAAGATTAAAAGTATTATCATTATTCACAATGTGTAAATAATGTTTCTTTTTAACTTCATAGTGACATTTTTCATTATATCTATGTATTCTTTCGACCTTTATAAAGGTTACTAGCGGCGCATCTTATTCGCCTCCAGTAAAACAAAAACCACGGGGATATCCCACGGGAACTGCAAATTTTTCAGGGATAAAAAGTAGCCTATGTGTTATTCCAGACTATATTCTATCTCTGTGCCAAATTTGATCCAGATCCGTTCAGCCGTTGTGGCGTGATTGAGTAACAAACATCCAAACATCTAAGTATTCACTTTTATAATATTAGTGAGATTTTAAATACCATATATTTTGTGGCTGGTAAAGATTTTATGAACATAAAATATTTTATTACTTAAAATTAAGATAAAATTTGTATTCAGAAAATCTCATTTATTACTATAAAACATTCTTTTTACTGTTTAATTTCTTTTTTTACTTTTAATTTAACTACACTTTATAAAGTGTAGTTTCAGTTCTACATTATGCCATACTCTTTGTAATTTTAGATTCATACAAAAATGAATCAATGGAATTTAAAATATTATTTATTACAGGAAAATAAAATAAATTAAATCATCGCAAATTATTCATATTATATATTACATACTAATATTATCAATCTGAAAGTTTGTGAGGATGGATGGATGTTTATTACTCTTTCAAACCAAAACGGCTGAACGGATCTGGATGAAATTTGGCACAGAGATAGATTATAGTCTGGAATAGCACATAGGTTACTTTTTATCCCGGAAAATGTCCGATTCCCATGGGATATCCCTACTAACAGTTAAAACGTACCCAAGAACGAACCCGAGCGAAGCGAGCGAGAGTCGCTAGTGATTTTATAAGTAACTCTCACAATCTCACGGACGGACCACACGATATAAAAAAAGATAATAATCTTGTGTCAAGTTTGAACTAAATTCAACGATTTTCACGTTATTGACAAAAATTACAATTTTCCTTTATAATAAAACTAGCGATTCAACCTCCTGGTTCGTCCCTAGCTTGATTCCCCATACAAACTTTCATCCCCATTTTAACCCCCTTAAGGGATGATTTCCGGAATAAAAAGTATCCTATGTCCTTTCGCAGGGCCTCGAACTATCTTCTTACCAAATTTCATCTAAATCATTTCAGCCGTACCAGAGATTACCCCCTACAACGTCACAAACTCACAATCTCACAAACTCAAAAACTTTACCTCTTTATAATATTAGTATAGATTAGGATTAGGATGACAAACTCAATATATCTTAGAATATAAATTTTAAAGTGTTTACATTTCTTATAAAGTATCCAAGTAATATCTAGAGACATTAAAAAACAATTCAAAATAAATTAAATTGATTATAATTCGTTTGGAATGTTACCTTAAGATGTATCTATAGACACTATTTACACTTAACGTAGGCCTCAGTTTTAGTCAGTAAAAACCGTGTAAAATCTCAAAAGGTACTGACTGACACTCTGATATAAATATTTAATCTAATCATAAAGAAATCAACATTGATGGCTGTTTATCTCTACAATATATATTCGCATGCTATTGATAATAACGGGGGGAACTTTTGTTTTACTTGTAAATACATTATCTGTATTTAAAGTTCCATTATAATAATAAATAAGTAGGTGTAAGTTCCTAGGAACTTTTATGACTAAGTTACATATTTATTTGTAGGTATGTATATGTCCAAAAATAAAACAAAACATATAGATAAAATTACCATATTTATTATTCATATTTGTATATGCCTTCTCCACTCTTCCTACCAAATTTTCCTTCAGCAACTAACTCATCCAAAACGGCCACAGGTCTAAACACAGTGTTGCCAGTTTTCTCCAACATGACCGCTAAAATCGCCTTTTTGTTATCTAGTCCGGTAAAATCTGCCAACTCTAGAGGGCCCATGGGATAACCTGCACCTAATTTCATAGCTATGTCTATATCACGAGGGGATGCATCACCTGGAATTGATAACAATTTAATATTTCTTAATTAACTTGAAATACAGTATGAAAGATAGCATTTATAAGACAACATACTTAGATAGTTAAAGATTATTTCGAAAGACGAAATCTATACTAATATTATAAAGAGCAGTCTGTTTGTATGAACGCACTAATCTCAGGAACTACTAATCCGATTTGTAAAATTCATGTTGCATTATGTAATCCGTTTATTGAGGAAGGCCATAGATTATATATTATCATGCTACTACCCAAGGGAGCGGAGCAGTAATATATGTACAGTCTATCGATTCCATACTAACCGTAAAACGTACATACCTAGGGACGAGCCCGAGAGAAGCAAGGATGAGTCGCTAGGAGTTAGTAAAGTAAAATAAGAGATAAGAAGTTTGCAACACCGCTAACTTAATCTCAAAATGTACTTATTCAATGTAGTCAGACAGTGAGCCAACTTGGCACAGATTGCCACTTTACGTAGAAAAGTCGTCTAAAAGCACAATGAATGCTCTTTTAAATTGTGAACAATTTTTTTTTAAACTAGATAAAACAGAAATCTATGGACTAATTTCGATTTCCCTTGTCTAAATTTAGTTTTTATTTGTTTAATATTAACATTACAATATACCAAGCAAATATCGGCGCAGGCGCAGATAAGATATACGATGTTAATTGATTTTGTAATCAATCGCATGTTACATCATCACATAGTTGTGATCGTGAACTAATAATAGTAGGGGAGCCCAAAAGGAGATTTTTGGAGTTACTCAAGCGCGGCAGATTAACATAAGAGGGGATACCTTTCACTCTGTTGGTCTCACTTTTCATGATGTACCTAATTAGCCTAGCATACCTTAATTTGACGGTTTCAAGTATTTCTACCTTCTTAGATTTACGCAAATACTTGACATTTTAAATAAAACTATCTTTTCGGATTTTTTCGCGAATTTACATCATCAACATTTTAAAACTAAAACTTTTAACTTAAAAAAAATGTTTAAAGTTAAAAGTTAAAAAATATTGTAACGTACTTTGGTGCAATCTTTCAATTTTTTGAATTCATTTTGTTATTTGTGGATAGGCTGTCTGTAACAACTATATAATACCTTAGAGACATCTAACACCTCAGTCTCTCCCGTAACCATAATTGCTGTAATTGTAAATTCGCGAAAAAATCCGAAACTTCAAAAGATAGTTTTATTTAAAATATATCTACCTTATCCAAATATTTTGATCGGCTGCCCTAGACGCGCGCCCTTATTTAGAGGACTTATATTATGATGGAGGTACTCAACAAAGTGCAAGGTATTCCCCTTATGTAAATCTGCCGTGCTTGAGTAACCAATAATCCCCTCTTGGACTCCCCTACTATAAAGAAAATTACCGTCAAGGATATAAATTAAAATTGATAAAATGATAAATTTAAGCGTTCAATTATATTATTTCCTGAATTAAGTTTTTGAAATCTTAATAATTGTGAAAACGGACACAAGAATGTGCACAAAAAGTTGTGTTTGCTTTTAAACAGTTGTGCAAATTTTATTAAATAAATCATTCTTTGTATATAAAATATTATACTATCTCGTTCAACTAGTGGCTATCATGAGCGGCTGTCAATCGGGAGGTCCTGGGTTCGAGTCCTGGATCGGTTCTAAATAGTAGCAAAGTTTTTCTGTTACGAAATATTAAGTAGCAGCTCAGTTGGGAAGTTGGCGATGTCTACACTTCGTGCCTTAAAGAACACGTTAAGCTGTCGTCGGTCCTGCTTCGATCAACCTCACTCCTCCCACCAACAGTGTCGTCCCGTCGGAATATGACAGTAGCAAAAGAAAGAGCACTTGTGATTCCGCACACATGCAATGCATAATGTGTCCCGCGCTGGTTAATGTATTAGTCGCCGAGAGTAGCCGAAATCAGTTAGGATACATTTTTGGACATTATTGTTATATCACACATCTACCTCATTATATTTAGCAAGCTATTATTAGCTTCATTTCTAATATATTAAGTAATCAATCCTTGAAAGTCAATTTTAACTGAAACCTAAATGTCGTATCGATTTGAAACCTTGTGTGTGATAATTCGAAAGACAATACCATCGAGCTGATCTAATTTTTACTACAAATGCTTTTACTACAAATAAAGAATATTATTATTAAAAAAAATGATGAAGTTAGAGGCTGGTGGAACTGTTCAATGGCTGTTTACATGTGTAAAATCTATAGGTTTTGGCTAATTTAATATATTTCCATACGTAAAACACATTAACCTATTAGATTTTCATATCTTAAAATATTGTCAGCTGGCACCGACTTCGAAAATATCTGATTAGGTATCTATTCTAAATGAAAAACCCCGTTTGGTTATTTTTTACATTTTAGCGCCTGGAAGTCGGTTTTTTTTTAAGTTTTTATCTGTCCATTTTTAGTGTAATAAGCAGGTAATTAGTTAGAAGAAAGTTTTTTAATAACATGTTCGATTAAGCAATTTATTTAAAAAAATAATTTATTTGTTGATTTAAAAAAAAACGCTTGACCGATTTCGATAAAATTTATATGGGACCACCTGGGAAGTATAGCTTTTGAAACAAAAAAAAATATTTCCAAATCGGTTCAGGCGTCTTCGAGTAATCGGTGAACATACATAAAAAAAAGATTCCGACGAATTGAGAACCTACTCCTTTTTGGAAGTCGGTTAAAAACTACATAATAATAATATGTTTGCTTATAACTTGCATTTATATGCACTTTAGTCCCTCCACGACCGCGGACACGCCGGCGTTACAGTTAACAGTAGATTTCTTAGAAATTTAATTAATTTCTTAGAAATTTACCTGGAGGTGTTTACTTTACAATGTACTAATTTGCATATCATTATATTTTTATTCAGACGGTTAAAGTCCTACTCAATTTATCGGTTAAATCATTTGCATTGTTTTAATTTACATTCATTGACGTAATTCGTTTGAACAATATAATATACATATTATGTAGCTTGGGTTTGTTGTTTCGAAAAAGCCTTAAGATATTCTCATGTGCGAATCATTTCCAACATAATTACCATTTGTCTTACGGAACCTAGCAATTTTTGAAAGACATGTGAAGTCTTATCCATGTCTGATCCCTCTTATAATGAAGGGGGCTCGTGCCCAAAAGCGGAACGTTAAAAACGGCTACATACAATCTAAACAAATAAGAAAATCAAGCTTAAGATGGAAACTGGTCTTCTGAAGAGGAGAGATGGCGATGGCAATGCATACCAAGTACCAACCGATAAATGTGGGTTTCTATAAATAATTCTACTCTAAAAAGTCACTTCTTCTTCAACAAAATATTCAAAAGCTAATAATTAGTTGTCATCCATTTTGGATTGTGGTGTTCAAGAAAGTGTCTGTACGTGTGTACTAGCACTAAAAATTCCAAAGGGAAAAAATAACGTTCACGTTTAGATGATGAGACGAGATACAATCGTACATATGCGGTCAGCCTTAGTAAAGTGTAGATTTCATTGGATTTATTTTCGTATACAGTGTAAATAAAACATATTTAGGTCTAGCGGTTGAAAGGATTGAAATAAAACAAATACGAAGTAAATGTTGAAGCTTGCCACAATACATTAGTGAAAACCGCACCCAAATCATCAATCAAAAATTGCACAAACGCACAGACAAACAAACAAAAAATCTAAAAATCATTGTTTTGAGTTCTATTGTATTTTAGTAATTGTAGAGTAAGTAATTGTAGAGTTAATAATCAAGTCCTAATATGGAGTTAATTTAAACGAGTCTCATATATTTCGCGATAATTTTTCATATAGTAGTTATAACGAACAAAAAATTATATAAAATAAAATATTGTCAATTTAAAACGATTAAATTTTATATGTTTTTATCAGTAACAATTTAAATGTTAGGTTTTTTAAAACTATTATGGTATTTTAAATGTTATTTACCTGTCGACTTTTGCTTTTTTTCTATCTACTTTTTCAAATAAAACAATCTTATCAGATTTATTCGCGGATTTATTTTGGTTTCAAGTTCTCGACATTTCACATGCATAACAATAATCATGGTCACGTGAAGATTATAGATGATAGCTGGAATTTGGAAAGCATTCGAAATATCGAGAACCAAAAACAACGAAAAAATCCAAAAACAGTTTTATTGAATATGTCATATATTCGCGTAAATCTATGAAAATAAAATTCATTATTATTTAGAATAGTAAGCGTAGTTTCAGGGCTGTCAGATAGTATAATTGGATACGAAAATTGTATAATATATATGTATAATATATGTATATATTAATCCAGTTTGTATAGCAGATGACCTTGAATATTTGGATACAAAAAATGAAGATTTTCCTTCTGTAACTTCCCTAATGTCGAACAAAAAAATATCGATAGATCAAACTTTTCTTAATATTTGGTGGAAAGCAAGCGAGACATACGTAAATATGTTAAAGAGACAAAAAATTAATAATTTTATCTTTCACAGATTTTAATATTATTTACAGATTATAGGTACTGTGTACTGTATATACACATTTACATAAGTTTGCGTGACAAGGTCTTTTTTTGCACGAACATGACTGACGCAGAAAAATCCAAATACAAAAAAAATATATAAATTTTTCCATAATTTTTATTACAAAAGATCAAAAAAAAGAAACAAGAATATAGTTCATTCCTCATCAATCAACATGCTAAAACAATAAAAAATACCACTTATTTCTTATATTTATAGAATCCTTCGCCAGTCTTAATACCGAGCTTTCCATCTTCCACCATTTTGTCCAACAATGGAATGGGTCTAAACACTGGGTCTTTGGTTTTTTCATACATAACTTGTAAGACGAACTTATTTGTATCTAAGCCGGTATAATCGGCCAGTTCAAATGGTCCCATGGGATAACCTGCGCCTAACTTCATACCTATATCTATATCTTCTTTGGTTGCATCACCTACAAATATACATATATTACAAAATAACTTATCAATTAAATATAATAAAGATAAAAGAGATAAAAAATATATTAGTCGCGTCAGTGTATTTTAACGTCACTATTGGATGTAAACAAATATATGTATATACTAGCGACTCACCCTCGCTCCGCTCGGGTTCATCCCTACTTACGTTTTAACGTTTTGTATAGATTTCTCAGAGATGGGATATTTTCCCGCAGTAAAAAATATGCTATATGTTGACCAGGATAACCGGCTATCATTAAATCCAATTTCATCAAAATCTCTCCAGTGGTTTTTCCGTGATGCGGTTACAGACAGAGAAACAGCCAAAAATTCTAAAAACTATAGATTCGGCCTCTGTATTGATAATAATGTGTATTTCATTAAGATTTTCCAAAAAATATTTAATGTACAGATTCAACTCAGTTAGAATTTTATTATGATAATAGATCTAGATAGGCAGTAGTAGCCCAGTGGTAACGCGCTCGCTTGAGAAACCGAGTGAAGCGGGTTCAAATCCCGGGTCTCGCACCTCTGATATTTTCATGTGCGAATCATTTCTAACATGATACCACTTGCCTTACGGTGAAGGAAAACATCGTGAGGAAACCTGCATATCTGAGAGAACTTAGCAAGTTTTCGAAAGACATGTGAAGTCCGCCAACCCGCACTTGGCCAGCGTGGTGGACTATGGCCTGATTCCCCTCGTACTGAAGGGAGGCCCGTGCCCAGCAGTGGGACGATAAAAAGGGCTGAATACAATCTATAGGAACACTATAGATTATTTAACAATAATAAATTTGTATTTTTGCTTCAACTATTTCCTTTATCTGACACTTTTATCTTGCTATCTTGTAGCATATTGGCAAAAGTTTATTTATTTATTTTGTAAATTGGAAAACAGATAGCATATACGAGTATAAGTATAAAATGCAAAATACATCGGAATTAATACACTTAGAATTTTTGTCTGTCTGTGACCGCATCACGAGAAAACCATTGCACAGGATTTGATGAAAGTTTGTATGATGATAGCTGGATATCCGGTTCACCATATAAGATACTTTTTAGTGCGGAAAAATATATCATTTTATATGGTTTATGTACCTACTAATAAATAAAATAATATCACACTCACCCTTAAACCAATAATAAATATGTAGGTGTCATAAATAACAGCACTAAATGATAACCCTTTTTGTCAAGCAAATTAAAGCTTCATATGAAATAAAATAATACAATCCAAACATCCAAACCATTTATAAAATTCATATCAGCAATAAATAATCATAATTAAATCCCCCAGAAACAGTATAAATGAGAAGGAAAATCTATACAATCTAAATTAACACCAAAAACATTATAATTCTCATGCATTCTAATGTAATAATATATTACCCACAGCTGACAGCACACATTTAAATAATACCTTGAAACCTTTTGTAATAAAAACAAAGAAGTTAAAACAGTTTTTATATAGACAATCAACCAAAACCATAAAAAAAAAATAAGTGCCAACTTAAAGAATAAAAATTCATATATGTATATTAGGGGCGGGTCTGGGCCTAGGCTTTTGCGGTTTCCGTACGACATGTCTTTGCATGGTAGTTTAGGTGCAGGCCTACCCTACCACCTCCTTCAGAGATGGTAGGGGGGCGTTGGTCTTGGGAGTAGCGCAGGTCGCAAAGATCCCCAAGGCAAGTTCGGTGGACTAGCCTTCTCGAGGTTGCCAGCCCTGTTATAGGTTTATTTCCATCCGAAATAGACATAACTGAAACCACCGGACGGTTCAACCCAGGGGAATATATAGTGTATGTAATATATGTAAAACTATTAATGTGTAGTCTACTCTTATTGTTTTCCCCACAATTAATATCACTGTACTATATAAAAACATCACGGCTAGTAGGCGGGCTGTGACTATTATAATATCTTTAAAATAAATATATGTATGTTTATCATATTCATTATACATATCTATGTGCCTGGGCATGCACCGAAATAAGATAGCCCGTTATCTATGTACGTTTATCAGTTATTTTAATTCTATTGATATAATCGCCTACCTGCGCTAGAGCCTGCGCAGTTGAGCGCTGCACGTGCGGATGACGGAGTCCTGGGAGGTTGAGTCGCGCCAGACCAGCCGGCAACACGCCCCTTTGGTCCCGATTTCGTACTAAACAGTACCCCTGAGTCTAACCAGCTCGGGGGAAACGGCTTTACGTCCCGTCAGAGGGCCGTAGGTGAGGTGAGGGGGGGGAAGCGGAAGGTCATGCTGATGGAGTAAGGGTGTGTGGAACAACTGGTTGGACCAGAATCCGGTCTACCAGCCACACACAGCATGCGGCCCCTGGGCACGTGCGTCTGAGCTCCTGATGTCGCACTGTACGCCACCCCTTCTTTCCTATATCTGCTAGGTAGTCCTAGTGCTCAAAGAGTACTCCCAGTTGCGGGCTCCGTGGAGGGTGGGAAGCCTGGCAGACGAATCCTACAACACTCAAACTATGGAAAATCAAGGATTCATAGAACTCAAAGCAAAGGTGGCATCTGAGGGACATCCCAAAGAAGCCCCTGCTAAACCTAAGAAAACAAACGCGTCCGGTGAGCCAAGCACAGGGTTTCCTGTGGGAGGTTCCCACGCTAATCGCCAACAAGGAGGTAAAGGTAAAGCAGGTAAAGGAACTAAGGGGCAACCCAAAGCTCCCAAGCCAGCCTTACCAACCCCTAGTCAAGACCAACAAATGAAGTCAGTGGAGGCCACACAAGGCCCCCTTACTTCATTTAGCAAGGGCCACCCCAAGTCGGTTGCGCCGACCGCGCTCACTGGTGGCGAGGTGGCAACCAGATCACTGGAGGCCCCCCCATCTATGAGTGAGGCCGGAGCAACCAGCAAGGGAATGAGGGGGGTTGTAGATGCCCCACCGGCACCCCAGACCGACTCAACGAGAGCCGCCGCTGAAGCTAACGAGGAGGCATCCAGGAAACTGGTATTGCCCCCGTCTGCCAACGCGAAAGCAATCGGGACAGCCGGGAAGGAGGCGGCCACAGCAGCACCTGCAACCACCCACACAAGCCCCGAAACGGCAGGAGGTCCATGGACGGTGGTAACCTCCCGCAAAACAAACAAGCACCCTCGTTCGGAGGCTAATCAACCAAACACTGGTAATGCTGAAGCAAAGGAACCAGGTAAAAAGCTCAGAAAGAGGCCAAACGCAGCTACCAGATGGAAGCGCAAGCTGAAGGCCAAAACTGCATCCAAAACATCTGCACCTAACACCACGCAAGGCACTTCAACCTCGGAACCAAGTGCGAGTGGCACGCAGCCCCTAAAGGCAGGGACCTCTGGTTCCACTGAGGGAGGCAGCAGAACTAACAAGAGGCATCGTCCTGAGGAGACAATGACCCCTAGTGGAGCAAAGAAGAAGGCGCGCACGGGTGCCACCCCAAGAAGTTATGCTGAGGCCGCTAAATCTGACCTTATGGCGGCAATCACAGCTGACAACTTGGGACACCTGAGCAAAGAACAGGCGGAAGAGGTCCAGGAGGTGCTTACCAGCAAACTCTGGTCTCTAGTCCAGACCAAAGCAAACAATCCACCAACATTTCAGGGTAGACCCTCCTATTTTGGTGGATCCTTACAAATATGGTGCACAAATGCGGAGGCCATGGAATGGCTAAAAACAGCAATACATGGTCACACGCTAACTTCGGGAGTTAAGGTAGAGGTCCGGAAACATTCGGATCTCCCTAAGAAAGTTAGATGCGGCATATTAATACCGGGGAAAGCTGAAACCAGCCAAATGGGTGAGGCTCTCCGATATTTTAACCCGTGGGCAGGAGTGGAGCGCTGGCTACTACACACTGCTCAACAACAAACCTCGGGAACCTTCATCGTGGTTAGCATACCAGAGGACCTGATCCCTGAAATAATTAAACGTGGACGGCAACTCAGCTACCTACTGGGCGCCGTCTACGTAAAGTTCGAATTACGGAAGGGCAGGTTCTCTGAACTACCGCCGGAACAAGCCGATGCTAACAACAAGGCTATGGAACCATCGGACACCCCAACGGAGCAGCCCGATCAGCAACAGCACCCCAGCACCAGCGGCGGGGACAACAGCGTACCTCCTCCGGGTCCCTCCGACTCACCGCACGATCTGACAGTCGTCGAAATGGCGAGCGTCAGTGATGAGGCGGAGAGCATCGGGGACTGGGCCCAGGGGATGGAGGAGCTCGATCTTGGTACAGGAGATGACGACTCTGATGACGGAGTCCCCTTTACCAAGTAGTCGAGCTCTCCAAATCAACCTCCACCACAGTCTCACCGCTACAGCGCAGCTACGCAAGTGGCTGGAGGTAAACAACACAGTCGTAGCCTTCATCCAAGAACCCTGGCTATCTAGGTCAGGGTCGATACAAGGATTGAACAACCTTAAAGGTAAGCTAATAACAAGCAACGAACCCCAGACAAGGGCCGCTATTTACATTTCAAATAACATTCCTGTGCAGGTCCTAACCGACTTCTGTTCCAGAGACATCTGCACAATAAAAACAGCCAAAACCCAGACGACGTCGCGGGAAGTAGTCCTCACATCGGTTTACATGCCGGATGGAGAGGACCCCCCCCCACAAGACCTGGTGCGACTCGTCAACTACTGCGAAGCAGAGGGGCTAGACATCATCGTTGCCACAGACTCTAACTGCCATCACACGATCTGGGGTAATGAAAAAACAAATGTCAGAGGTAGGATACTAATTGAATACTTATCAACTACTAACTTAGACATTATTAACACAGGCAACAAGCCTACCTTTGTAACAAGACGTGCCAATAGCATTATTGACCTCACGCTAGCAAACGACGGGGGTGCCAAACTGATATCCAACTGGCATGTGTCTGATGAAGCCTCTTGCTCAGACCACAGATGGATACGTTTTGAACTAGGTTTATCCACTACACCCCCTCAACCCTTTAGGAACGTACGAAAGACAAACAAAGATGAATTTCGTAAACTACTAGTCGACGGCCTACGGGCACTTGACTACCCTGACAGACTAACCGACACGGATAGTATCGAACAACTGGTCACTAAACTAACGCAGTTAATGACTACATGTTACGAAGCAACTTGCCCACTAACCTATCCTCCGTCAAACCCACTTGACAGAGGATCCTGGTGGGGCCCAGAGTTAAAACGCCTTAGAACCAAGGTCAGGAAAGCCTTCAATAGAGCTATGAATACATACAACGATCTAGATTGGGACCACTACAAAAATGTTAAAGCCAAGTACAAAAAACGAATAAGATACTGGAGGAATCGTGCTTGGCGAAAATACTGTGAGTCCATAGAATCGTTTATACAGGCAAACAGAATTCGTAAAATTCTTACCGGACAACCACAGCGGGAACTGGGTTCCTTAAGGAAACCGGACGGCACATATACCAAATCATTGGAAGAAGCACACCGAGTACTTCTGCAGACGCACTTCCCCGACTGCTCAATGATTAACGAAACCAAATGGTTAGATGTCAACCACAACATAACAGACACATCCACGCAACTTGCAACGGAGGTCATAAGTCCAAAGAAAATAGCATGGGCCATTAAAAGCTTTCAGCCCTTCAAGGCACCAGGCCTAGACGGCATTTACCCCGCTTTTATACAATGGGGAGGCCCAAAACTGTTCCATATACTCAATAGAGTATATCAGGCCTGCCTGGCTCTTGGATACGTACCCAAGACCTGGAGAGAGGTCAAGGTAATCTTCATACCAAAAACCGGCAGGTCTGACTACACGGATGCTAAATCCTACAGACCAATAAGCCTCACATCATTCCTACTTAAAACTATGGAAAGACTATGTGATAGATACCTAAGAGACAATGCATTAGTAAAAACACCTCTACATAGGAACCAACATGCCTATAGTTCAGGCAAATCAACGGAATCAGCCCTCCACGCTGTAGTATGCAAGATCGAGGAGGCGTTAGATACCAAAGACATATGCCTAGGCACCTTTATCGACATTGAAGGAGCCTTCGATAAAACTAACTTCACCAGCATCAGAGCAGCACTCGACAGACATGATGTGAACCCAGTAATATCAAACTGGATTCAACACATGCTCGCAAATAGAGTAGTCCGGCTGGGAAATAGCAACAAACAGGGAGCCATCGTTGCTAAAGGCTGTCCACAAGGAGGTGTACTGTCGCCTCTTTTGTGGAACCTCGTAGTTAACGACCTCATATCCCTGCTCAACGACAACAGATTTTATACAATCGGTTATGCAGATGACCTAGCCATCTTAGTAACGGGTAAATTCACAAGCACGGTCTGCGAATTAACACAATCGGCCCTATTAATAGTTGAAAAGTGGTGCGAAAAGTTTCATCTGACCGTCAATCCGCGCAAAACTGAACTAATAATGTTCACAAACAAAAGAGCGCTAGGGAACTACTCCCTTCCAAAACTCTTTAATTCGACACTGTCACTAACTACAGAAGTAAAATACCTAGGTATTATTCTAGACAGCAAATTAAATTGGTCCAAACACCTAGAAACCAAACTAAACAAGGCCAGCATTACCTTCTGGCAATGCCGAAGAATGTTAGGTAAGAAGTGGGGCCTTAAACCAAAACTAACTCTATGGCTTTACACAGCAGTTATACGACCTATGATTAGCTACGGTGCCCTAGTGTGGTGGCGTAGAACTCTTCTAACCACAGCACAATGCAAGTTACAAAGCTGGCAGAGACTGGTGTGCATGGCAGTAACGGGCTGCATGAGAACAACACCCACTGCAGCCCTGGAAGCCATACTAAGCCTTCTGCCGCTGCACTTGTTTATCCAACAAGAGGCTGCGACTACCGCAACAAGATTAGATAATCAGAAGTTGCTACGAAAAACAGGCACGCCACATACAAAAATTTTGATAGACGTAGCCAAAGACATCCCGCTCATGGGAGCACCGAATGACGGGATCCAAATCAAATACATTTTTGACAAAAAATACAAAATAGAGCTGGAGGTAGACAAAAACGAAGGTCGCGACAGCAAGGACCTTAGAATATACACTGATGGCTCAAAAACCAAATCAGGGACAGGTTGCGGGATCTTCTCTGATGATCTAAACATTCAAACTTCAATACCCCTAGGTACCTATAACACCGTGTTCCAAGCCGAATGTCTAGGTATCCTTGAGGCAGCTAGAACAATTGCGAATAAAGACGTCAAAAACTTCTCTATCCGCATACTATCAGACAGCATGTCAGTACTACAGGCATTAAATAGTAACTCTACCACTTCAGGTATAATCTATGAATGTCATAACGCTTTGACACAGGTAAGTGACCAAAACAAGGTCTCAGTACAATGGGTCAAAGGCCACAGCAACTCGTGGGGTAACGATAGGGCCGACGAGCTAGCAAGAAGAGGATCGGACCTGAATGCAATAGGTCCTGAGCCCATCGTGGCGCTACCTTCTTGCTGGCTCAAAGGTCAAATACGACAACGCACAAGACGACTACACGAAAATATATGGCGTGAAGTCGCAGACTGCAGGCAAGCAAAGGAATCGCTTCCTTTCATTAACACTACAACGACTAACCGTCTGATTAATCTCAACAGATCTCAGCTCAGACAGATAACCGCGGCTCTAACAGGCCACGGACCCTATAACAAACACCTATTTAACTTAGGTATAACTGACAGCCCTCTCTGCAGAGCCTGCATGAGGGCAGATGAAACGGCTGCACATGTGATTTTACATTGTCCAGGTGTAGCGGCGTACCGGGCTCAACATCTTGGCACCCCTAGTACACTCCCGGAGGTCTTCGGTAGGACGAAGAGACTACTGAAGTTCCTGGAAGAACTGGGCTGGCAAGAATAAACATTTGGAAAATTTCCCACACACGCAAAATAGGCGCGCAGACGTCGAGTTGCGGAAACTGGCCCGTCTTATACCATACCATACCATACCATGTATATAAAGAGGCATCCGCAAAGACCCAATAAGACATTTTACGTTAAAAATAAAAATTAAAAAATCTTGGGCAATGACATACCTCTCTCATACATCCTCAAAGCTTCAGCACTATAAGGCCCAAGTAACCTGTTAACAACAAAGCCGGGAGTGTCCTTGCAAGTTATACAAGTCTTGCCGACGGACTTGCCCCACTCCATCATAGTGTTGTATGTTTCTTCAGATATGTGATCTCCTTTGATTACTTCCAAAAGTCGCATTACTGGTACAGGATTAAAGAAATGGAGTCCACCAAATCTGTAACATTCATTTTTTATTGATAATCTATATTTCTTTGAACCTTCTACTTCATTTTATTTAGTGCACAAATTATAAGCACAACTTTTGCTTTGTAAGAAATTGCTTAATTTGGTAAACTTAATTTATTTCTAGATCTGCTTGACTAAAAGATATTATTTATATTTAAGTTAATTTCTTAAGAACTTAGCAGTTCCATTCTTCACTTGGTGTTGATGCCTTGTAATTCTATTTATTCTACAATCCAAAATGTTGACTCTACGCTTAACATAAACTTTTACTTTATAGAGCAAAGAAATTAATGTTCTCTTACCTATCCTTTCTTTTAATTCCCGCACCAATTTCATTGATAGAAATAGACGAAGTATTGCTTGCTAAAATTGTATGTTCAGGGCAAAGCTAAAAATTTCAATAAAGTTTCATTAGAGCATCACTAAAATACATTTAGTTTTTAAATAAAAGTATATACATGTAAGAAAAGTATGTGTTATATTTCTGGACTACCCTTGTTTCTGCACTTATTAGCACTTTATGTCAGGGCTCAGAAACCTGTTCAACTTTTAAACCGGTTAAATCCAGAAGTTCCATGAAGAAAATTGACCAGTCAAAATGAGTTTTTGAATGGCGTAGTAGAAAGATACATGTATATTTCTTACTTATGAATGAATGAACTGGCAAGTGATGAATTAACCATTACATTACCAGATTAAACCGTTTTTTATAGTGGTTCTGAGCCTTGCTTTATGTAATCATTTCCAAGTGCCAATTTTAGCATTTACCTATTCAATATTAAGTTGTAAATTTAAGCCCTTAAAAATCATGTAATTTTAGTTAGTTTTATATACATTATTTACATACCTGACATTAAATAAAAAATACATTGAATTATAGTTCATTGTTAAGTTAATTATGAATAATTCATTGACATCCACATATGAACTTCAATCTAAACATATGCTAATGTTGCATTATATCATTTTAACATTAAATAAAAATGGCAATTATTTTACAACATTATAAAAGCATAACAACAAAATCATTAAAATAGATTTAGTCTTGGCACACAGTACTATGCAATACCCAATAGTTTGTTCATACCCCTTTTTTATTTATTCCTCTACCTTCTACCTAACATTAGAAAACAAAAATTAAATCGTAAGCTTATTATAATTTTTACCTCATCGAGTTTATTAAATAATGCCTGTTTAACATCCAGCTTTTCCACAATGGCTTCCACAACCAAATCAACATTCACTCCATCTTCAATATTAGTTGAAACCTTGATTCTGTCTAATGATTCCTTAACAAAACCTTCAACTTTTCCTTTATCATCTTTATATAATTTTTTACCAACTCTTACAAGATTATTTTGAATAGATTTTTGGGCATTTTCAAGTAACTCAGGTTTTAAATCCACTATAGTTACATTTTGACCAGCTTGAGCTGCAATCTATAAGTATATTAAATTATCAGTATTACATAATATACAAAAAAAATATAAATAAAATGGTATCTAATCACTAAATTAGTTATAGGGGGTAAAGTCGTACCTAAAAGTTATTATGTATAAAATTAACTAAATTCTAATTTATATTAATTCATATTAAAACATACAAATAATATAAAGGTATATAAAAACAAAAAAAAAATTTAGCACTTACCTGCGCGATACCAGAGCCCATAAGCCCTCCCCCAACAACAGTTACCGATTTAATTGAATTTAAAGTAGTAGAACTTGAAAAATTTCTTGTTAAACCAATTATTTTATTCATTTTGTTGGATTGCTTGCGTTCTTGTCGCTTGACCGAATACGAGTAAATGATAATCAGGTTTGTAGACCTGTTCAAAACGGCAAAGCGGGCAAGTTTCTACAAAGTTGCCGGTAGTATGTTGTTTTAAATATTACTTACCTGTCATATATGCGTTTTTGGTAGAACAGCAATGTACCCAACACATTTTATCACTTTTAAGATATCTAAGACTTTAGATAAATGATAACAACGGTATTTGGTTAAGTTAAATACCTACGGTCATAATATATTTTAAATTTACCACTACGCTAAATATTTACATTAAAAATTGAAAAAGGCAAATTAAATTTTGACAGTAGCACATGTCAAATTTGACAAATTGCCAATCATAAGGCAAGTTCTACATTACTTACAAATTCAATGCAACGTACTGATTTAAATGAAAACACCAGAATTAGAGTCTGGCTAACCAAAGCGTGAACTGAAAAAACGTGGCAAATTCAAAAAACCTTTATTTGGTATTTCTAACTATAGTAAGAGAAAAATGTTTTGATACTTGAGTATTCTTTGTATTTACGATAATCATTTTTTTATTACTCGTTTGCGAACTTAATTTATAATTTAAGGAACACACCACATCTTTAGTAATTTTCGTATTATAAAGAGTCCTCATAACACGAAAACTTTACAAAAACTTGAGTAATTGAGGACTTCAATACCTTAAAACAATTAAGGAGTTTACGAAGATATGTATGACTTTATATACCTATAGCTAGTTTGAGTTATTATACTGTTGTGTCGGCCGGTACAAACCAAAAGAACTTGTAATTACCTATACATAATAATTGACAAACAAAAACAAGTCTACTAGAGAAATTATTAGAGCCGTACATCTGGGGTAAAAATTTGCTTATTTGTTAATGTTATTGATGTATGAACTATATTATTGTAGTTTCATTAAAATCCAATCCGTAGTTTTTGTGTACTAAGGTGTATAAGTAACTATAGTTTTTTAACTTTCCCACGGGAACTCATTAATTTTCCGGGATAAAAAGTATCTAAAATACAACGTACGTACGTGTGTTTCATATTATATGTTTGAACATAAGTTCCAAAAAGAAAGAATTTCCAAATTCGAATTAGCACAAAAACAAACTGACTGAGTATTTATTTATAAAATCAAATTGAATGATTTTATAAATAAATACTCAAAGCCGAGTAGCGGTTTCGTATAAAGAAAATTTTAAACTAAATTTTAAATGCGTACCTCTTTTTTAAAATCAGTAAATTGCAATAGTTAAGGTTATTAACATCGAATACAGGTTAATTTATCATAATATTATTGATTACATAGTTACTATAATATCATGAACGTAAATTACAACGGGTAACGCAGTATCTTGGCAACTCTACTCTCTAGTTGTAGTTAGGTACATCAGTGAGTGAGCAACTAGACGTGGGCGTTTAAGCGATAAGTGCTTAAAAAACATGCTTTTTAAAAAAGTTCTACAGCACGCTTACGTATTCAAGCAGATTTCGTTTAAGCGTTGATGGCTACGTTCCAACTTCCAAGAAATTAAACACTACATTAAACAATAGCGATTCACCCTCGCTTCGCTCGGGTTCGACGCTACCTTGCTTCTAAATTCATCACATATCCCATTTCCGGGATAAAAAGTATATATTCTTCTATGTCCTTCCCAGTGTCTCAAACTATCTTCTTACCAAATTTCATCTAAATCGGTTCAGTAGATCCAGAGATTACCCCCTACAACGTCACAAACTCACAAAGCTTACCTCTTTATAATATTAGTATAGAAGAATAGATAATATGAAAAGTAACCTTATTTATATATAGATATAACTCAAAATAATATTTAATTATTGGGCCTTATTCCTAAGCACATAAGACTTAATATAAAAATTATACATTATATTAGATTAACAACCATATTTCTATAATCTGTTGTCATTACTCATTTGTCATAAGACTCACTCAAATTCAATTTCAAATGGATCCGTTTCATATTAAACATTCTATTTGTTTACGTAATATTTTCGGCGAATTGAAATTAGAAAATTTATCAATTTTGATAGTTTTTGTACAACACATTGAACCGATAACTCTTACAGTATATATATAGCTTATGTTTACTCTAAGCGATAACCATAAAATATAGATCACTTTTTTCAACACTTGTTGTTATGGCTTTATTCTTTAAGTCTTTATTTTTTTTTTAAAGAACTCAACGATTAGCAATCTTATATAAAAAAGCGTAGAAAAAAGAAAGAAAAGCGCTTTTTTAAAACGTTTAAAAAATAAACAAAACGTTTCATAACATGTTCTCAATTTAAAGCCATTTATCACTATTCACTTTTATGTAGCAATATACTCTATGATGATCAATCACAGCGAAGTGGATTGAACTTTGGAATTCCATTTACAAAATCAGTTATTTTTTATCACTTTATCTCTTAGGTGGTACTGTGCACAGTGCGTGTACCTAAAATTCAATTATAAATTATATCTATTTAAATAATTTATACAAAATGATTCAATTTGGAGTTATAGCGCGAAACTTTTCCAGTTCTTCTGTCGTACAAAGTGCAGTAAAAAATGTTACTGTTATTGGAGGTGGACTGATGGGCTCTGGAATTGCTCAGGTAGTTACTCTTATCATTTATCACTATCTATATATTTTCTAATGCATTTTTCTCTCTTTTAATTTTAAATATAAATAAATACCATTAAATACATGCATAAATATAATTTTATTTTTCTTACAGGTAGCGGCCCAAGCTGGTCAAAATGTGACTTTAGTAGATGTAAGCTCAGATGTGTTGGCTAAATCTCAAAAATCTATCGGGAACAACCTGGGGCGAGTTGCAAAGAAGATTTACAAGGACAATCCAAAAGAAGGTGAAAAGTTTGTAACAGAGTCTTTGGCCAGGATTAAAACTGATACTGACCCTGTCAGCGGAAGTAAGGGAGCTGATTTGGTAGTGGAAGCTATTGTTGAAAATATTAATGTTAAACATGAGCTTTTCAAAAAGCTTGATGCTGTAAGTATATAGTTATTATTGTTTTGTACATTTCTGAAAAAAATATACAAATATATTATTTATTTAACAACACATTTGGCTCAGTTTGTAGTGACCCTACTTGCTGTGCCAGCGGTCTCAGGTTCGAGTCCCGCTGGGGGCATTCGTTTGTGTGATGAGCATGAATGTTTGTACTCCAGTCATTGGTGTTTATATACAAATATATATGTATTTAAAGTTATATATGTGTAAAGTATCGACTATCTGGTATCCATAACACAAGCCTCGTAGCTTACTATGGAATTAGATGGTGCTGTGTTAATGTCCCAATATATTTATATATACAAATAGTTGGTAGGTATCATAATTACTTAAGGAAAAAAATCTAGTTTCTATGGAAACATGTTAGAAGTGAAACATTGGCTATTTATATTTCAAATCTGTAAGATGAATAAATTAATAATAAAGGATAGGTGTCAAAAAATTAGGTAAAAGTGAGATATGTGGACATTTAAAGGATGTAGGAATAATATTTGAAAGATTTACATAAGATAAATAAACACAAATTATAAGTTGTATTTTTCTAATTATTAATCCATACTAATATTATAAATGTTAAAGTGTCTTTGTTTGTTTGTCCTTCTTTCACGTCGAAACGTAATAACGGATTGGCGTGATTTTTTTGTGTCGAGATAGTTGGGAGGGCTGGAGAGTGACTGAAGGGAGGCTACTTTTTATCGCGAGAGATTACTTAATTCCCACGGGAAAACACGTTTTATTACGATCCAAAAAAGTATTTAAGATCAGAATTTCTTGAAACTTGCTATTAATGCTTTTCAATAAAATTAAATAAATACGTATTTTAGCATTATTTGAAATTCATCCTATTATTTTTTTAAATTTCATCATGTGTATGAAATTACCTTATTAGGATTTTTTTGTAGTTTTAGTGCGAGCGAAGCCGCGGGTTCTGCTAGTTTCAAATAAATAAAAAAAATAGAATACTAATTAGTTAAACAATCAGTTAAAGAAAATATTTAATACTTACAATTACACTTAAATTGAAAGAAATACAGATAGGTAATATTTTCAAAAGAAATACAGATAGGTAATGGGTCAATTAGGTTAGGTTAGGCTCATATATTTATAAAAAAATGGGTGCACCGTGCGTATAACCTTTACGAGTAGTTGAAGTAAAACTTCTTTGGTAAATATCGCAATTAAATTAAAACAAATCAATAATTACATAAGGCATATTAGGCATAATATTACAATTATTTATTTATAGAATACTAGTATTCTATAAATATATAATTGCCCGCGGATCCGCCCGCGTTCAGATGACCAAAAACCAAATAAAATATGTAGCGCTATTGTAATTTTTTATCAAGATAAGTTATTTTTAATCGTTTTTGCCTTATTTAGTAAGTTACCTTGCTAAAATATATATACTCGTAGTATCATCGTGGTTTTATTCTAACCAGTTTTAATTTTTTTTCTCAGAAATGAGACGCAGTTAAAAGTATCCTATATGTTGACCCGGATAACCACCTATGACCATACCAAATTTCATCAAAATCCCTCCAATAGTTTTACTGTGATGCGGTAACAGACAGACAGACAGACAGACAGACAAAAAATCTAAAAACTATAGATTCGGCCTCTGCATGGATAATAATGTTTATTTCAATAAGATTTTCCAAAAAATAATAAATGAATGTACAGATTCGGCTTAGTTACAATTTTATTATATGCATAGATAAGTTAAGTTTTTTTTTGCGAAGATTCAAAGTTATTTAACATATACTACATAATATATTATTCACTATTATTTTTCACTTTGTATGTAATGTATTCTATCTCATTCTCTCGCCGGCTTTATCTGTATAAATATTATTATAAATATGTAAGTTTTGTGAGTATGGACGTCTGTTACTCTTTCACGCCAGAACGGCTGAACAGATCTGGATGAAATTTGGCACAGGGATAGATTATAGTCTGGGATAACAAATAGGCTACCTTTTATCACGGAAAAATATACGGCTCCCGAGGGAAAGATATGTTTTTGTTTTTCTAGAGGCAGATCCGAGCGAAGGGAGGGTGAGCTGCTAGGCCTATATATTTGTGTTTTTCTCTTTCTCGTGTCGCATTTTCGTTTCATAGGATTTCAAATCACAATGATTCTAAAGAAGTTTCACTTCAAAATCCTATTGACAATAAAAATTTTGCACTTATCAATTATAAAAAAAATTACAACAGGTATACAATGGTAGTTTTTTTGATAGAAACATTACTGCGAGCTTTGATAATATAAAAATAAATAGTTATTAGGGAGTGCCAGTAGCAGGAAAGTCAAAAGGCAATGGCCTGAATTGGTATGGATATGTGATGAGGAGAAATGAATTGCATGTGATGAAAAAAGTGATGAAAATGAATGTAGATGGAGGAAAAGGATGACCAAAAAAATATGGATAGACACAGGATATGAAAGGGAAAGGTGCTTAGGTGATGAGTAATAGGGGAGAGTGGAAGAGACATACTGTACCCAAGTAATTTGGGAAATTGGCAACGAGATGATGATGTTGAAATAGTTATTCACAACTCTTAAAACTTAGTCTCTTAGTATGTATTTACTTTAATGTAATGTTTATTTATAAATGTAACTGATAACCTTCGGGCACATTTTGATAAATGACAATTGAATGTATCACCAGTGCTAAAGTATTTTTAGATCCAGATTACTATACACAAGAAATTCCATAAATATTTCATATGCTGAAAAAAGATAATACAATCTATACAATTAAAAATATTAATGGCTGTTTATACAAAACTAGCGACTCGCCTTCGCTTGGGTTCGTCCCTAGGTTGCTTCCCTATACAAACTTTCATCCCCATTTTTACTCTCTTAAGGGATGATTTCCGGGATAAAAACTATCCTATGTCCTTTCCAGGGTCTCAAACTATCTTCTTATCAAATTTCATCTAAATCGGTTTAGTAGTTTTTGAGTCTATTCGGTACAAAATAAAAACTTTTTAACAAAAAAGTAAAAACCGACTTCAAACAATACTACTAAAAATAAAAAATAACTGATTGGTAGTTTTTACTTACTATACATACCTAATCAAATAATTTTCGAAGTCGGTGCCAGCCGATACAAAGCAAAGCAAAGCAAAAAGTTTTTATTTTTCCCTTTTTAGTGTAGACAGTAGTAGCAAAGTAAGAATTCTAACGTGTTAGGCTTGTCAAATCAAACAAAATAAGCCCAAACTCAAAGTATCTACTATTAGCCGTTGAAGAGTTACACCTATCCACCTTCTGGCCTTATCATCAGATCAGGTCAACAATATCGAACCACAGTACTATCAACGGAAATAGAAACACTTGCAAAGTTTCAAGTCAATATGACAATTAGAAGTAGGTTAAATTCATCATTAGCTATTTTTCCACCCTTAGGGGTGGTATTTTTTTTGAAATTTAAATGGGACCAATCTGGAAGTATACACTTTCAAACAAAACAAAAATTGTCCAAGTCGGTTTATAAATGACGGAGTTCTGAGGTAACAAACAAAAAAAAAATACAACTAATTGAGAACCTCCTCCTTTTTGAGGAAGTTGGTTGAAAACAAACAAAAAAGCTTTCCTATTTATAATATTAGTACTTAAAGAAAGAAAGGCTATTAGATAGCATTGTACATGAATATCTACATCGCTCAACCTTTCGGCATTAAAATCGGTACACCCCATGGGTGTGTGAGTATGGTACATAATAACCATGTTTCAGGCTGCACCGAGTCACACCATATTTGCTTCAAACACTTCGTCTCTGTCCATCAATGAAATTGCCTCTGTCGTAAAACGCAAGGACAAGTAAGTATGATCTTTTTACACATAAACATAATAATGGGGTAATAAAAATATAATGATAATATATAAAATAAATTCTTTAATTTTAAAATTTAATTTTTATGTTCAAAATGGCTATTCCATATTTAGCTTGAATGTTAAAAAACTTAAATTGAAATATTTTTCTACACTCAGTACTACATTTGTTTACTGAAGGTCGTGGAGTCTACTGCCAGTTGGAAAAATTCTTGAGAAAGCCCCCTCCTCCAACCCCCCTCCCCTCCCCTTTGATAATAAAATTTCAAAACCTGGATGCAATCACATAATTTTCAAGGTGAACTATCAAGTCTTACTAACTACCATAACATATTTAACATATATTTTTTAATTTTAATAATTTTTAATTTTAGCTTTTGAATGTTTTCTTGGATCCTATTAAAAATATTGCCCATATAAAGAAAGAATCACCGACGAAGAAAAGCTATCTTAGATGTACGCGAATATACAGGAGAGACGTCTCTCCCGTGACCATGATTGCTGTAAAGCATTCGAAGCGTCGAAAACCAAAAATTAAAATAAATCCGCGAAAAAATCCGAAAAGATAGTTTTATTCAAAATTAGCGGCTCACCATCGCTTCGTTCGGGTTCGCCTTTAAAAAAACAAAAACAAATCTATCCCTCGGGAACCGTATATTTTTCCGGGATAAAAAGTTGCATATTGTTTGATCGGCAATATAAGAATTAAGATATCAGCATGCCAAGTTTTACTAAATTAGGTGCATAAGTTGTGTACTTTTTAAGTTACTATAGTTTTTTAACTATCCCACGGGAACTCTTTATATTTCCGGGATGAAAAGTATCTAATATGTAGACCGGGTATAAAGGGTCCACCATGCAAACATTTAAATCGGTCCAACAGTTTCGGAGATTAGCCCGTACAAACAGACAGACAGAGAAACAAAAAAATTGAAAAAAAATGGGTTTGTTCTATTTTTCTTTTTACATCCTCCTGACTCAGTTTTTAGCTTTTTTTTTCTATGTACAGACATTCGACCTCTACAGTTTTATTATATGTATAAATGAGAAAAGCTACTTTTACCACAAAAAAAAGAAGTCCAACTCCAACGGCTAATTTTCTGTTATTCCAGATTCGGTGGTCTCCATTTCTTCAATCCTGTTCCAGTGATGCGTCTTCTAGAAGTGGTGAGAGGGAACGAAACCTCGGACGCTACATACAACACTATGATGGAGTGGGGCAAGGCCGTCGGCAAGACTTGTATAACTTGCAAGGACACTCCCGGCTTTGTTGTTAACAGATTGCTGGTCCCGTACGTTGCTGAGGCTATTAGACTGTTTGAGAGGGGTGAGTTTGGTTTTGAGTTGTTAATCTATAGTAGATTCGATTCCCATATGGGGTAAATGTTTATGAATATTCCACTTAACAGTATAAATTTATATACGAGGACATATTAAATTCTTCCTTAGATATATTGATAAAAAATATTTAGTATTTGTTAATCTAGATTCTAGGATATGAGTTAATCCGTTCTGAAGTCACTCAAATCTGTACAGCAATAATAGCGTGAACACTAACTAAAATATTCGCATATTTAATATTACTGTAAAATCACATATTTTGAAACCTCTATTAGGACATGTAAAAGAAATAAATGGCTGGAAATAAAGTTAAAAAAATAACAGCTAAATAATACTTTCTTAGATTTACGCGAATGTTTGACATTATTAAATAAAACTATCTTTTCGGATTATTTCGCGGAGTCTCTCCCGTGACCATGGATGCTGTAAAGCATTCGAAACGTCGGGAACCAAAAATCAAAAGTAATAAGTATAAAACGCCTTTGAGATGTCTAAAACTTTAGTCATGATTGCTGTAAAGCATTCGAAACGTCGGGAACCAAAAATCAAAATAAATCCACGAAATAATCCGAAAAGATAGATAAAAATAAATAGCTGTAAGGTTTTGTATTAATAATAAAATTCTTACATTTCAGGAGACGCTTCAGCCCGAGATATAGATGTAGCCATGAAACTAGGTGCCGGCTACCCCATGGGCCCGCTGGAGCTTGCCGACTATGTGGGCTTGGACACTAATAAGTTCATCTTAGACGGATGGCATAAGAAATACCCTGAAGAACCCCTCTTCAAACCCGTCCCACTTCTGAACAAGTTAGTCAGCGAGGGCAAGCTTGGGGTAAAGTCCGGTGAAGGCTTCTACAAATATGAGAAGAAATGAGTGCTTTAATTGTTATAGAAATACGTTATATCATGTATAGATTGAGATATTTTATTATATTGTATTAAAGTTTTCATATTTTTAACGCTTTTTCAATTATTAACTAACAAACGATTGATAAACTTAAAGAAAAGCTACATAGAATTTTTCTATGTGATAATATATAATAAAATTTAAAATACATAATTAACAAAAGAAGTAATCATTCATACATTTTTCATCTATACATAAAATAAAATTGTAAAGGTCGAATGTCTGTACATAGAAAAAAATGCTAAAAAGTAAGTCACGGGAATGTAAGATGACAGACGATGGAGACAATTAATCTAGATTTTTTTCATTTTTTTTGTTTCTCTGTTTGTACGGGCTAATCTCCGAAACTATTAGACCGATTTAAAAGAAATTTTGCTTGGTGGTACCTTATATCCCCGGGCAACATTTAAAATACTTTTCATCATGAAAATGTTTTCCGTGGGATAGTTAAAAAACAATAGTAGGTAACTTATACAGCTAAATACCTACACAAAAACTACTGATTGGATTTTAATGAAACTTTACAATCATGATGTATCAGAATAACAAAAAGGCTACTTTTTATCCTAGGAAAATGTACATTTCGTGGGATAGATTTGTTTTTGTTTAAAATTTTTTATTAAAAATTTAAAAAAAATAACAGTGACTTTTGCTTGAGTAAAAAATTTTTGTTATAGAAAATTTCATAAATTTAATAATAGAAAATTTTGATATAGAAAACACAGAAAAACCACTGAAGGGATTTTGATGAAATTTGGTATGGTGATAACTGGTTATCCGGGTCTACATATAGGATACTTTTTACTGCGGGAAAATATCTCATTTCTGAGGAAAAAAAAACTGCAAAGTAAGAGTATACCTACTAATATGTAAAACCTATGAATTTGGTTTTTGGTCATCTGAACGCGGACGGAGCCGCGGGCAATGCTAGTAATATATAAAGGTTTTCACTGACATTTATAAACTTACTTTTTTAATTGCCTAAACTGAAAATGTTGTTGATTACATTTTTATTTAAATAGTAAATATATTCTTTTAGTATTTGTTTATCTGACAAGGAACTGTGCAAGTTCAGGTCCAGGTTTAAGGACTATGTGTACATAATTTTATAATGTACAGAGAGAAACATTAAAATTAAGCGCATTTATAGTAGTAAGGAAATATCTTATTTCTACTAAGAAATCTCATTTTGAAAAGTTCTAAAATAGGTGCGTCAAGCAATTTTGATCGTAAACAATTTTTCCCATTATAAACATTACCACCCCCATTTTACTATTGCTTAGTACTGACTAAACTTTACCAAAACTCTGTTTGAAATGTATTTAATAATATTGAGTTATGAGATGTTTAAATAATTAAGTTATATATTTTACAGATGAGTTAAAAACTTATTTAATAAGAAGTTGGAGGAAAATAAAAAGTAGTCATAAAATTAAAATTATTTAATAATACACTTAGAACCCACTAAAACTTATAATTACATATCATAATCATCATCATCACGTTTCCTTTTCTGTGAAACTTCATCTAACTCCATCTTTACAGGACCTTGAGAAGAAGGTCCTGCAGTCACTCTTACTGCTGGTTTTGCTACCACCTGAGAATTATATTTAATAGATTTTTAAATATTCTAAAGAAAATGAAAATTTAAAGGGAGAAATACTATTAACATAAATTTTTTATTTAATCTTTTATAAATAATAATGATACCAAATTTTGTTACAATCCATAGCTCTTTTTGTAATTTATAACTTAGTTCATTAAAAAACCTTGGATTTTAGCTCCCCTGTAATATAGGAAAAATTCTTACCTTACTATTAGAAGTGAATTTAAAAACTGGCTTAGGAGCTACATTATGTTTAGATGAAACATTTACAATAGCTCCAGGAGGCCTCTTCACAACAACATTCTGGCCACCAGGTTTCGAACTTGTTACTGTTTTAATGGTAGGTGTTGTTGGTACCGATGGTTTTGCTATAACTTTCTTTGTTACTTGTTTTAATCGGTAATTGCATGATGATAAACAGTAGCTAAAAACAGTGGTATTTTTATTTCTTTAGCAAGATACACAATTAAATAATATTAAGACTAGTTTTTAAAGTTAAACATTTTGATGCTACATTTAAAAAGTTAACAATTTTGTTATTAAACATATAATTTTATATTTATCTACCACATTTAGTGGCTAATTACTTAATAGCTCACCGATCTGGGGGAAGCCGCAGGCCACAGTGTGGTTTTATTAGTGGCAATGGATTCACATTTTTGACTCTAGCAAGCTCCAGTAAGACTTCTCTGGGAGGTGGACTTGTAAATGACTTATCCAACTGCATCTGAACCGCCAATCTAACATCATCTAAGTCAATAGTTTTCTTTTTTGAATGATTAGCAAAAACTCTTGCGTCGTCCAAAACTGAAGTTACATATCGATATGTGAATTCTAGGAGTTGATTTACAACTCTGGGTTCATATTCTGTGATACCAACCTCTTTCATGATAGACATGATAACTTGGGCATCTTTGGGAAGGTGTTTCATTTGTGCATTTACTTTAGCTTTATCTTTTTCCGACATTGTGTCTAGGATAATTTTAGAATATAAAAGAGGTTTATTTAAATATAGCACAAATGTATTTCCCAGTTCCCTATATATTTTATTTTGTTTATAGTGCACAACAAAATTTAACACAGATTGTTAGCGATCAAAATTGACAATTGTCATAGAATCATAGATCTGAGTCTGACATTTGTCAAATTGTTATTAACGCATGTCCCATAGATAAGAGAAATTATAATATTTTTTTTAGAAAAGCTAAGATACTCAATGCAAATGCCAAATAATATTTTATAAATGTATGTATTTTAATATATTATTTTTGATTTAAGCTCAATCTGCACATAAAAATCAGAATGGGTCTATAAATGGCTATGACTAATGAACCTTTTCATGTTTAACGTGTTAAATGTACGAACACAGTCTCAGAAAAGTTTTTATTGATAGTAAAACATTTAGAAAAATAAACCATAAACTAATTATTAGTAACAGAGGATCTATTATTTGTAGTTTACAATTTTATGCCCCTACATATTTTATTACATGGTAGCAGAACGCGGCTTCGCTCGCGCTAAAACTATGCTATTAGTAACATGATGATATAGCCTAAAGCCTTCCTCGATAAACGGGCTATCTGATGCAAAAATAATTTTTCAAATCGGACTAGTAGTTCTCGAGTTCCTGAGATTAGCGCGTTCAAACAAACAAACAAACAAACAAACAAACAAACAAACTCTGCCTCTTTATAATATTTATTACATGTTAAATTATTTTTAAAATTTTAAATATTTTCAAAATCAACAACTAGCTAAAAAAAAAATTCTAAATTGGGGATAATACTTAAATGAATGAACTTTTCTAAAATTAATCATAATAATAAGTTTCTTGCCGCGACTTTTTTCAGAATTTTGAAAAAACCCCTTGGTATATTTTAGATACACTTTTGTTCTTGCCATATCTTTATATATTATATATTAATGTAAAGTCAACGCTCGTCATTTCGAAACTAACACACGCGATATTAACATTTAAACTGTCTGGGGTTTTTTAGTTTATCTAATTATTGTTAATGTAATAAGTTCATCTAAATTATGTATAGTTGTTCTCTTTCCTGTTATAATATCTTATAGTATTAAGGCTTAAAGCAAAAGGGTTGTAAAAAAAAGATACAGAAATCAAACACACTGTATATAATAACCATTTCGATTTATTCAGTTAAAATATGAAATAACTTACGTGTACAGTAAAAATAAGTTGTTTTTAGATAGTCGAATAACCGATTACTAGGGGCCGCTCGGCCTCAACGTCGCTACCTTACACCTTGTTTTACCAAGTACTAACATACGTCTAGTTTCAAAGGTTCGGTTAACCAAAGCGACAGTTCGACTTTAAATCAACCGAAATATGAGTATTCAAGTTAGTTCATATACATTACACATTGATTTCAATAAACTGTTTATTACTTTGCCTTAGAAACTCTTTGGATGAATTCGACAACCATAGCTCGGTTGTGTGAATCTATCCATATCAACCGAACCCCTGAAGCTACACCCTAACATACGCACTAAAGATTACATTATTGTAATTTGCATTAGGTACATTAACATATGGACAATTTGGACGTACACTTGTGTTACACTAGCGATAAACAGAATAAAGCATGTTCTCTTCACTTTCGTTCCATTTAGCTTATATAATATTTACAATCCTACTTATATTAGATATTTTTTATTGTATATTATGATCTTTTTGTTGATACCAAATATAAATCTGCTTATAATTTGATATACGCTCTTTTTGGTCGCATGACAGAGAGTTAACAGCTTTCTAAGTGCGATAGTGCATTTTTATATATATATTTCACATTTTGATGGAATAAACGAATCACACATTTTTCTTTTTTATCGATAGTTTAGATTTTAGCCAACATATTAGTGTCATTTTTAATCAATTAGATTGTTCTATATAATATTTAAAACGCAATTGTGACTAATCGATTCTTTATTATAATGTGCCGTACTTGTACTGGTGATAACAACACTACAGTTATTATTAAATAGATACAATTATTTGCATTAAATGTCAACTCTAAATGCCACTAGACCAACAATGGAAGGCTCATTTTCCCGCCAAAACATCCGTCATTCAACAGAATATAACGTCAATGTATGGAACAAAAGTAAAGTAACATTTCGAAAATACGCGGAGTTCAGTTGGAATATAAAATTAATCTAGCTATTGAAACGTCCTTGATATGTCTCCTGAAATAATTAAAAATTTTGCGCTCGAGGAGGGAAAATTGGAAATTATTGCTTTCGTATTAATTATAGTCAATTTTCATACTGTTATAAGTTTGCCGTACACTAAGCGATACATAATCACAATATCATAATTCTCTTGCAAGACTTTTAGTATCGTCGCAGATTTAATAGATTGCGCATATATTTTAATTAGCAGTCGTAGTTATTATTTAAAGAGCTAAGTTTTGCCTAAACCGAAAGCTGCAAGTCTTCTGTAAATATCGCATAGTGTACGCAACATTCACATACATATTTCCGCCCAGGTTCTATCTATAGCTAATAAATTGTGCTATTTGAAACCAGCCGACGACGCGATCAACATTCTCGTTACACTTATCGTAATAATTATATCACCTAGTGAGGTTTCAAACAATAACCTACGATTTACCTCACACGTTACGACTTTGACACAAAAAGTCCAATAATAAAAAAAAGCACTACAAATGACATTGACAGTTGAAATAGTCCACACAAATCAATTAATATAGTAATTTTCATATTTTTCAATACACATTTAAGTGTCAATGGTATTTTAATGTACGATTACATTGGTTAAAATGGAGGTTTTCATGTCCCTATCCCGGCTCCACCGGTCGCAACGCGTGAGGCCATCTATTAATCTACTTACGTAGCTTATCTACTCGTACGGTCAATATATCAACAACGCAACTAGGGGCTACTTAATAAAACTATGAACGTCACGTAATCCAGACTATTGTGTGGCTAAACAGGAATCGTGTTTGGATATTTACTTACTGAACAAAACCCCCACCCCCATTTTTGATAACTACATCTTTTGTTCAAAGTTAGGCAAGATGTCGTGTTTGAATGTAGGTAAACTTTAAATATACAAAATCAGATTTCGTATATTTCTGAATACAGATTAAAAAATGCCAAACTTTGTAAAACCCATATTCTTTAAATAGGGGAGAGGGTGTTCCCTAGCTATATCTATTACTATAGAACAATTAAACACGCACTTTCCCAAACAAAATTAACATGGCACTGCTTTTTAAGTAATTCGTTCAGAAGTTCATCGATTGGCAAAACGGGATCAGAAAATAGTAAACAGTCAATATTCATACACGAGACGATCGCACAAAGTAACAACAAATGTAAGCTCAACACCGTACTCACGACGGGCTAAATCAACTTGACCGACTTCGAAAAGTTAGTAAATTTCCAAAACTGGCCGAGAGTGTGGAAACGCCTTTTTTCATTTACAAAAATATCCAAACGTATCAAATTCAGTCCGTTTTAGATAAAATCACTTTTAGCAAATTGCGAAAGGCACTCCACTACTTATGCAAATAAAGAGTGTGGGGGTAAAATTTTAGCAAAAATGTAGATGTCGATATCTTGGGATCGAACCAATATTTCGGTAATCCTTTAAATTTAGCTTTGGGATTAATAGCCCAAATTTTAAGGAATTAACCGAGGTTCAATTTAACCGTGGTTTATTTTAAATCTATGTTTAAACCCAGATTTCGACTAAACTAAGGTTCCCACCAGCGTATCAACCCTCATCAAAGATTATTATCAACGGTTACATTCAAATTCACAGTTGAGCTACAAACAAACGTGGAAACCGAAACATAACTTATCCTAATTATTATTTAGAAACAGGAAGAAACTACAATTAATAGAGTTTAACAGATTCCTTTCGGACTATCGAAGGAGATCGAGCTTCAGCTATAGGGTACATGATGACCATTTCATTTTCAAGCAAAATATAAAAAAAATCAAACATCTAATATTTAATGTATAAATAAAAAAAAAACATTTAAAAATTATATAATAATATTAGACACTAAAAACTTCACAAAATCACTTTGCGAATCTAATATTACATATTCCGTCACTACCTAGTATTGCAACACTTCTACCGCTTATTCAAATTAACATTACATAATCAATAATAAATATATTATTTAATGAATTAAACTCATGTACCGTATCCACTGATATTTTTTATACTTTCGACGTGCAGCGTCCGAACGCGTCCGCCGCCGCCATCTGTAAATGAAAATAATATATAATATAGCAGAAGGCTATATATAATGTAATCCTGAATAATGCTTCGGTAAAACGTTTATTTATTTATTTATTTGGTAATCAAACAGCGTTACAGTATTAATTAAGATTGCACATTGTACACAAAGGAGAGTTACAATAAGACCAATATTAGATTACACTAAAAATACAATAATAATGAACAACAGGCATCAAAATGGTAAAATAAAATGTAGATATTCAAACGATGTTTTAGATGATGATGATGATGAACGTTGTCTTAAAAGCCAAATTGTTCCAGTTTGGAAGTAAATGTCACTTTTACTCATCCAAATATTCAAAATTAGTATTTTAAAAAAACATTACACGTATAAGCTTTAGTACTGTGAGTGTGCGCGGGGGTGCGGGGGGCGTACCTATGTGGCGAGCGCGGGCGCGTGGTCGGGCGCGGCCGGCGGCGGCGCGGGCGCGGGCGCGGGCGCCGCGTACTCCACCACCTCGTGGTAGATGAGCTGCTTCCACTGGTCCACGGTGTGCTCGCGCTCGTCCACGGAGTGGTCGTAGGAGGCGGGCGCGGGCGCGTTGACCTCGCCCTCGTCGTACCACACGTTGATGTAGGGGTGCAGCAGCGCCTCGTCCACGCTGATGCGGCGCTCGGGGTCCACCACCAGCATGCGCGAGAGCAGGTCGCGCGCCTGCGAGGCCTTGAGGCGGTTGTGCTCGCTGGAGTCGGACGGGAACAGGATGTCGGGGAAGAGGCGCTCGAAGCTGTAGCCGGCGTAGCGCGGCCGGTTCTCCACGTAGTTGCGCACGGTGGGCTGCAGCCGTGCCATGAACGCGGCCGACGGCGTGCCCAGTTGCTCTGCGGGACATTGGATATCACTACGTACTATAAAACGAACTCGCTTCCCGCGTCTATCTGTCCCTATGTATGCTTAGATCTTTAAAACTACGCAACGGATTATTCATTTTGTTATTTTGTAGGTAGGCTAGGCTGTCTGTGACAACTATATTATAATGCCTTTGAAACGTCTAAAACCTCAGTCTCTCCCGTGACCATAAATGCTGTAAAGCATTTGAAACTTCGGGAAGCAATAATCAAAATAAATCCGGGAAAAGATCCGAAAATATACTTTTATTTAAAATGTCAAATATTCGCGTAAACCTAAGAAACTACTACCAATATTTATATAGTTAGACAGTGGTAGCTCAGTGGTAACACGCTTACTTGATAAATCGAGCGAAGCGGATTCAAATCCCGGATCTAGCACCTCTGATATTCTCATGTGCAAATCATTTCTAACATGATTACCACTTCCCTTATGGTGAAGGAAAACATCGTGAGGAAACCTGCATGTCTGAGAGAACCTAGCAAGTTTTCAAAAGACATGTGAAGTCCGCCAACCCGCACTTGGCCAGCGTGGTGGGCTATGGTCTGATTCCTCTCGTATTAAAGCTTGAAGGCCCACTCCCAGCAGTGGGACGTTAAAAAAAGGGCTAAATACATACATACAAATACATAGTAACAACATGAGTTATAACTGACCAATGATCTTGTTCCACTGGTCGATGTGGTCGGTGCCGGGGAACAGCACGCCGCCGCGGATCATCTCGCCCATGATGCAGCCCACCGACCAGATGTCCACGTTCTCGGTGTAGCCCATGCCCAGGATCACCTGCACACCCAGTTAAATAAATAAATATGTTCGGATATTAATACACAGTACCTTCTAGTTCCATGGTGAGCTACGGGGCCTGTGTCATGGATACCGGATAGTAGAAACACTACGTATATATATAATCTTAAATACATACATATTACAAATATAAACACCATGACTGCTGTACAAACATTCGTGCTCATCACACAAATGAATGTCCCCAGCGGGACTCGAACCCGCGACCGCTGACACAGAAAGCAGGGTCACTACAAACTGAGCCAAACGTGTCGTTATATGTATATCATTTTACCTTATATGCAACGTTTCCTTGATATAATATAAATAGTTACTGTAAAAAAATATATATAATGATAATATAAATAGTTTTAATAGTTATGGGTTTTTTGAGTTTGTTTCTGTACATATGAAAATAAAATAGAAATAAGTAAAAAGATAGGTAAGTTATAAAATAAGTTTTATTAAAATAATCTCAATACCTTAATTACGTACGAGTAGTTTGAATATAAGAAATATTAGAAATATTCATATTGATCTAAAATATATTAATATATAAATGTAGTATGTATATATAATGTAAAATGTAAATGATAGATTAATGTAAATTGCGAGTGAAGCGTGTTCAAATCCCGATTTCGGATCTCGCATTTCTAATATTTTCATCGTTCCAATCATTACATACATACATACATACTGTGATTTTGTATTATACTCGTAGTAATGACCCGTTATCGCATAGCTGTGACTTATAAAATTTTCTGTAAGAGCTCATACTTTGCCGGTATATCTATACATATGATAAAATTGTAACTAAGCCGAATATATATATTATATATAAGCCGACATTATTATAGATACAGAGGCCGAACCTATAGTTTTTAGAATTTTTGTCTGTCTGTTTGTCTGCCCGACTGTTTGTCTGTTGCCGCATCACAGAAAATCCACTGGAGGGATTTTGAGGCAATTTGATATGGTAATAGCTGGTTATATTTTTAACCGCAGGAAAATGTCTCATTTCTGAGAAAAAATACAAAAACTGCAATGTAAGAGTATACTAATATGTAAAACCTAAGAATTTGGATTTGGTCATCTGAAAGCGGCCAATGCTAGTATTTTATAAAATATCGGCTTTTGATATTGTAAACAGTCACGACCCTTGCATACCTATACATATATTCATAATGCAAAATTAATGATTCAATAGAGTAATATTAGGACTGTCTACGTTACTATATACATATCGAAGTGGCTGTACAGTCGAATGTCGACCGTGGGAAAAGGGCTCCCTCGGGGTTTGAAAAAGACTCATGATCGGTTTGTGGTTAAAAAACGAATTCCTTGAATACAAGTGGGGACTGACCTCGGGCGCCCGGTAGTATCTGGTGACGACGTAGGGCGTCATCATGAAGGTGGTGCCGGCGGTGCGCGCCAGACCGAAGTCCAGGATCTTCAGCGTGCAGTCGCTCTTCACCACTATGTTGGACGGCTTCAGGTCCTGGGACCACACGTGGCTTAGTCAACATGAAGCATGCTTAAAATTATACAGGTGTGACAAAACTCTATATTAGATAATTTTGGACTCCAATGTGGTATATGTTTTATTTCTATCGCTGGTTTGTGTAGATATATAAAATCCTGATTTGCACAAGTAGTACTAAAGCAAAGATAACAAACGTCTTTCAGCGATATTATCATGTTCTTCCGTTGTTATAATAATGGTGTTGACGATACTTTGTTTCAGAGGTTTTGTTTTAACAGATAGGATTAAACATAGAAATTTAGAATATAATAACTAAATATACTCAAAACAATAACAATTAAAATTAATCGAAAAAAAGGAATAATCAACTAAAAAAAACTGCTCTTTACCCTGTGTATAATCCCAGCAAGATGCAAGTGCTTGATACCGCACAGCATCTGATAGAGCAGATAGCTCATCCGCTCGTGATCTAGGTCCATCTGGATCACCTGGCACAGGTTCGCGTCCATCAGCTCCATCACCAAGTACACATCCTGGAACTCCTCCAAGCTCTTCTGTGGCGTGAAGGCGTTTAGAAGACCGATTATCTGGAATTAGGTAAGTGGGTTTTTATTGTTGTTTGTTTTACTCGAAGTTCTTTATCTTTAAGCTTTGCTAAAAAATACAGATTATGCAGATCATTCCCTAATATTTCTAACATTTCAGCAGAGTTCCAAACGGTTCGTTAAACATATTTTTCTAAATACGAGTATAACGTAAATCTTTATCTATACATACAATAAAATTCTGAGTCGAATCTATTATAACATTAAATGTTTTTTGGAAAGTCTTATTGAAATTTATTTATTTATTTATTTCTCATTATTATCGATAAGTACAGAAGTATAGAATCTATAGTTTTTAGAATTTTTGTCTTTCTGTATGTCTGTGACCGCATCACGGAAAAACCACTGGACAGATTTTGATGAAATTTGGTATGATGATAGCTGGTTATCCAAGTCAACATATAAGATTACTTTTTACTGCGGTAACATATCTTATATCTGAGCTAAACGTGTGGAGTGTCAGTCCATAAGGTTATCCTTATATATTGAGTATACAACGCTAACAATAAATATGAACATTTACCGTTAAATCAGACATGAAATTTTAATACGGATGAAAAATTTACTCACATTTTTATGATTGACGAGTTTCATAAGCTTAAACTCGCGGTACGCACGTTTCGCGTGCGTGACATTCTGGAAAGGCCGTGAGAGCTTCTTGATTGCAACGTTCTGTTGTGTCACCGTGTCGTATGCCGCGCTGGAATAGAACCCCGTGCCGTTTAAACGAATAAATCCACTAGTTGTTTTGATGATAAAGACTTACAAAATGTTTAGTACAAAGTTTTAATAACTGACGACATTTAGATATTTTCATAATAGGTATAGATATTTCAACCAAACATTTTAATATTAAATGAAATTATAATAAGCCATGCAAAGTTATAAAAGAAGCGTCGAAGGAATCACCGACTACAATTAAGTTACTGTCTCTGTCATCTGATAAATAAATATGTTGGGACATTAACACACAGCACCACCTAGTTCCATGGTAAGTTACGAGACTTGTGTCATGGATACCAGATATTTGATACACTACACATATATAACTTTAAATACATACATACACATTATATATAAATATAATCACCCATCACTGGAGTACTAACATTCGTGCTCATCACACAAATGAATGGCCCTAGCGGGACTTGAACCCGCGATCGCTGGCACAGCAAGTTGGGTCACTACAAACTGCGCCAAACTAGTCGTCAAGTGTATATAGTTATTTTTTTATAGATCATGTTTTTGAAATCTCTCCTGCGGAATAAACCCTTTCATACCATTCTCCACATTATGTCGAAACTAAAATTTAATTAGACCTGGAATAATGTGTATGCTCAAAACGCTTAACCTGGATAGAAGTCCTTAGATCCACCACCATAGAAATATTCACTTAGCTGTTTCTAAAATAAGATTTTATAATACAAGTAATAAAAACGACGCCAGACAGTATCAAAAATCGAAGGAAAAAATTCACCCCTCTTAATAAAATCACCAAAAGTTCCGTTACACACTTGAGACTGTTAAAAAAGGTCAAACAAGATGTTATGCGAGATGAAATTTCAAAACGTATAAACTTTGTTTTATTTATGTTCAGCCAAATACAAATAGAACAAGACAATTGGAATTCGATAAAAGATAATGTACCTACGTATTACGTACAGTATACGTATAGTGTATACGTTTAAATGGAAGAGGTAATAGGAGTTATATATTATTACGAATATATGATATAACAGGGATTGAAAGCAATAATCAAATGTAGGCGTTAGTGGTAGCATGTTAAACCCTAGTCTCTCCCGTGACCATGATTGCTGTAAAGCATTCGAAACGTCGGGAACCAAAAATCGAAATAAATCCGCGAAATAATCCAAAAAGATAGTTTTATTTAAAATGTTGAAGTTAGATTCGGAAGACGGCAAAATAATTTTGAATACTTTAATATACCGTATTTTCTTTTTTGCTTATGTAAGTTATGTAAGCATTATGATTACCAATTGCTTGGTCTAATATTTGCTGTATAAACGATACTTAATTAATTTCCTTTACTTTTTGAAATTCATAATCGATATACATTTAATTTTGACGAACTGAATACACATAAACTTATGCCTTGATGAAATGGGCTATCAGTAATATTAGATATTTTTGAAGTGAAACTTCTTTAGAGTCGTTGTGATTTGAAACTCGATGAAACGAAAATGCGATACCTACTAAAAAGAGACAAACACATAAATATATATTATTAATCCGGCGAGAGAATGAGATAGAATACATTGCAATGTTGCCATAGTAACCGTTGTTATTGTCTGACAAATATATAATATTATATTCATGCCGTATATGATATTCTATAAATATATGATTGTAATATGCCTAATATGCCTTATTTAATTATTGAATTGTTTTAATTTAATTACGATATTTGCCAAAGAAGTTTTACTTCAACCGCGCGTAAAAGTTACACGCACCCATTCTTTTTTTTTACTATTGTACTGATTTAGAAGTCCAAGAGTTTCAAATACGGTCAAATCCCATTAAAATTTTCATAACAGATAGACACGGGAATATGAACAAAAAGCAAAAATTTGAACAACTCCGAAGTAACCCACCGGTAGCCATAACTAAACCGGTAACCGCTTATGGGGAAAGATTAAGAAAATTAGTTGACAATCAAGCGGGATGAAAAGTTGAGAAGCAAGCGTGTCGCTTACCACACCATGCCCTGTGCGCCCGCGCCTCGACGCGTGATCTCAGTGTACCGCGTCGGTATTGTGAACACCGTGTCACCGATTGTGACTGAGTAAAATTGAACCATAGTGGTATTCGGCTAACGAACTAACTGGATCAGCTATAAAGAGAAATACAGTTTATTTTGAATCAGGATCAAGCCTTCGTGGTACGCGTCAATTTAGTTTAACGTTGTATCAGGATCTCTGTAAGCCTTTGCTGAGTATTTGGTGTGTCTTGTTATAACTGACGATGACTTGCTTTGCTTGATAGTATATAATATTTCGTGTATAAAATCGTGTGAGATACGCCATTTATTATATTAATTGGATCTGTGTTTACTATTGAAGGTAATAATTTCAGTTCTTAAATAGAAATCCGCGTCAGGCGAACCTATAAATCAAACTGAACGTGACAAAAATAATCTCCAGCTGAAAAAATCTAAAATGGGAAAAGTAAGCCTCGAAGACTTTTTCATTTGCTAAAATAAAATTACAGTTAAAAGGAATTCAGAAGATTAATTCGAGATAAAATATCGCCTAGTAACAAAATTTGCGAAAATCAATTTATATCTAAAATGAGATTAAAATTGGAGGCTTATAATTGTACATGTACATAATTCAATACCATTATAGAAGGAAGTTTACTCGCGAAATGTAATAAACAAGCAAGACAGACACAGTGAAAATGTATATGAAACTACGAGAGCAGTGCTAATGTGCATGCAGAGACCTAACGCGTGCAATAGATGAGTAGTTGTGTGTAGTAGAAACAGATTGTGCTAAGTTGTTTTAAGCTCCTTGAGACAACTGAAAGAAAATTTTACAAAGCAAAGTAAAAGGACAAACTAAATTTCAAATAATACGTGCAAGAAATTATATAGAAATTTTCTATATATAAAAGTTATCGGTCGGTAACTTTATTGGATCAACATTCAAATTATTAATTAAGTCGTGTTTACTTTAGTTCTGTTTTTGATCTGATCGATTAGTCTGATACGATGTTGAGGATGGTCGCCCAAAAATCTGTTAATATTTGTATGAATCATGCTATGATGTAGAATAATAATAATCAGTGTATCTGAAAATCTAGGAATTACGTGCATATGCCATGGTTTCTATTTAAATAAATTATAAAAAAAAACCAAATCAGTAGCTAACTTTGAAAGTAAATAGTATTAATATATAAACTTTATTGTATTCATAGCTACATTGACTGTATTCAACTGGTCTTAGGTTCTATTTTCTTTCATATCATCTACAGTTACTTTATCAACATCATGTTCTCACGAAATAAAATCTAAGTCATTAACAAAAATCAGAACGAGTTCGTATTTACCAATTTTAGTTATTACTAGGGGCATACTCTCGTTCCGCTCGGGTGCGTCCTTGGGTGCCTTATTAGTATATCCAAATTCGTGCAGCCGTTTTAGCCTGAAGGAGTAACAATAAACATACACACACAAACAAACTTTCGCATATATAATATTAAACTGACGATGGACTTACCATACTATTCCCTGGGCGCCGGATCCGATAGGTTTCAGGTTTTGGTAACGCTTGAGTATGGTGAAGCGTGTGTCGCCAACCTCGACCGTGTAGAAGTGCGGGTGGCGCGGCGCGGCCGACATGCTGGTGGGCGCCGCGTGGGGCATCGACCACCCCTAGCTGAAACATTTGAGATACATTTGAAATTAAAACGAATGAAAAAAAAAACAGGATTCAAGCCTTTGATCCTGGATTTTGAATGTTAACACTGCATCAGGGTATCTGTAAGTTTTGTAGGTGTTGCTAAGTATTTGGTATATCTGGTGTAACTGATGATAACTTGTTTTACTTTGATTGTATAATTATTACGTTAACTGGCTCTGTTTTTACTTAGTTGATGTATCATTTCTATTCAATTTATATGTAACACTGAATGTGGCAAAAATAATCTACAGCTGAAAAGATGAAGAGAAATAGGTTTTGACGGCTTTTTACATTTGCTAAAATAAAAATAACCCCGAACGTGTAGAAGTATGAGCCGTATCTGTGCCGCCGCGTGTAGTATCGGCCACCCCTAGCTGAGATACATTTAAAATTGCTTCAGGCAAATGTCATTTAATTACTTAAAGGCGAACAACCAGCTGGTTTCACTCGTGTCGATATCTGCTCTGCGGCTAGATATCACCAAATTTAACTGGCTGCAGTTTTTGATAACTTTTGTACATATAATTGACTTACATCGTATAGTTATCGATAATTGCTTAAAATACAACAGCCTAAGCATTAGGATTTATTAGATAAATCAATTATTTATTTTAGGTTCATACTGTGGAAGAGGATATAATAAATACATACATTATACTTTCTTAGATTTACGCGAATATTTGACATTTTAAATTAAACTATCTTTTCGGATTTTTTCGCGGATTTATTTTGATTTTTGGTTCCCGACGTTTCGAATGCTTTACAGCATTCATGGTCACGGGAGAGACTTAGGTGATAACAGCAAAAATTAAATAAACAATATTCCATGTTCAATTATAAAACTAATTAAAATTATAAAAATGTTTAAAGTTATAAAATATTGTAAGGTATTTGGTGCAATTTTTCATTTTGTTAATTGTGGGTAGGCTGTCTGTAACAACTATACCTTCGAGACATGTAACACCTCAGTCTCTCCCGTGACCATGAATGCTGTAAAGCATTCGAAACGTCGGGAACCAAAAATCAAAGTAAATTCGCGAAATAATCCGTTAAGATAGTTTTATTTAAAATACATACATTATTTCCGCTCTACGTTTAATTAACAAATGTTTTCATTTGTTAATACAAAATTTAGATGTCTCTTTATAGTATGTAGTCTGTATAAATTAGTTACTTACGTAGTCTTTATATTAAAATGTTTATTGCCAAATACCAACATTTAATGATACTTGTATATGTATTAACATTCATTGGATACTCAGATTAGTGTTGTTTATGGTATTTTCTCTACGAACGGTCAAATAACTTGATAAGTTCCGATACAATTTCCAAATTTCTTTATAAATAAATATGTTGGGACACTTTCCTAATAGTAATTAATGATAGTAATGCCAAGGCGATATTAAAGTTTTAATAATAAGCGTTGGGAGCGCACTTGTTTCATTAATCAAGGGCTAGTCAAAGTTAATTGCTATAAGACTAAGTTCTAAATGAAATATGCTTTTAGTATTGTAATTTATATCAAATTATCAGCTGACTGTTGAAACTGATTTACCGCGAAAGAGAGTTTCGTAGAATAAATCACTTCATATTTCAAGGCTTTATTTTATAATCTAAAGTAATTATATCGCCTTAATTTCATGCTCAGAGGGTTTTATATATTTAAATACATTCTACAATGATTATAATTAGTGTTCTGTTGTCGTAGCAAATGGATGTTGGCGAAGAATAGTTGTATGTTGAAATAATTTAAAGCGAATATGCTACGTCCTGTCTCTTACTACTATGAAAAGATAGAAATTGTACTAATAAAAAAATAAGTATGTGTATCTTTTACGCGCGGTTGAAGTAAAGCTTCTTGAGCGCTGTTTCAGACACCACAATTAAATTAAAATAATTCAAAATATAAATATAATATTTTTTATAAAGTTATTAGTAATAAATATTCATATTTATAAGTAATCCATATTAATATTTGGATTATGCATGTGAAAGTTTGTTTGTTTGTTTATTTGTTTGTTTGTCCTGCTTTTGATTGATTGGCATGATTTTTGTGTGGAGATAGTTGGAGTGCTGGAAAGCGATATAGGCTACTTTTTATCGCGGGAGATTATCTCTTTCCCTCGGAAAAGACGTTATACAACCCAAAAAAATATTTATGATCAGAATTACATTTAGCATTTTTTGAAATTCATCCCATAAGAGGGCTAAGGAGGGAGGGAAAAGTTTGTATGAAACCTACATTTTTAATTTTATTTTTTTGTAATATTAAGGCGAGCAAAGCGGGTTCTGCTAGTCATTATCATAAAAACATAAATATATTTTAATTATTTATAACTAGCGCCTCACTCTTGCTTTGCTTCGGGTTCGTCCCTAAACAAAAACATATCTATTCCACGGGAACCGTACATCTTTCCGAGTTGAAATGTAACCTAATAACCTAAGTTGTTGCTATTCCAGACTATAATCTATCTCTGTGCCAAATTTCATCCAGATCCGTTCAGCCGTTCTAACGTGAAAGAGTAACAAACATCCATCCATACCGACAAACTTTCACATTTATAATATTAGCATGGATATGGATAAATTTGACTCTCACTTCCGCGACACTCATTTTTCCAATCTATTAACTTACCCCTCAGTCACGCCTAAAGATGCTTCACTTCAAAAAGGCATCGTTAATCATCTGTTAATATTTACTACTAAAATAAATCTCTACGTTGTCTCTACCTTTTCTATTACAATGAAAAGATATAGTAGAGTAAAGCATTTTTTTTAGTATAGGAACAATCTAATTATAAAACAAATGTATATAGCGTTTGTAATAGTTATACTAAAAACATAACACATCAATAAATATAATAATAAACAAGATTTTCATACAAAACCATAAAATGTGGGCAAAACGATATATTGCGCATTCCATGACTTACTCTAATAAATTGTCCGTAGAGAAGGAGCGCCGTTCCCCATAAAGCGCGTCTCGTAGTCTGGCTCTATCGCACTCTCGGGGTTCGATAACTTGCCGGCTATTATTACGTCTGAAACAATATTAGAATAGTGCTTTAAAGCTGAGAGACGTAAACATATCTTCATTATACATCCAATGATTGTTTTGGGTTTTATCTAAATATTATTACTTTTATCGATATTCTCAAGTTTTGCTTTGAATATTATAGGAAAATAATTGTTCTTGGAAATTGCTTGTACTGTAATAGCAACTAGCCAAGATTTTAAGAAGTTTTGTTTGTTTGTTTGAAAACTCGAGGCTAGACAATTTGAAGTTAGTGTAGTGTAGAATTATCTTTTTTGGAGAGTTTGAATTAAGAAAACGTAATTTTTGCTGTGACTTCATGAATCTCTTAAAGAACTATATTTTACTAGCGGTTGTTATATTAATATTATAGTTTATTAAAATAAAACTACATGGTAGTTTAAAAATACTCTTATGTCTGACGTTATTTTAAATATTTTTCTTTTTCCATATTACACCATAAAGTTTCTATATATCTTGTTATAAAAAGAAGTAATACAACAGCGTCCTAAACAAAAACAAATCTACCCGATGGGAACCGTACATTTTTCCGGGATAAAAAGTAGCCTATGTGTTATTCTGATGTATGAGCTATATTATTATAGAGTTTTATTAAAATCCATTTAGTAGTTTTTGCGTGAAAGAGTAACAAACATCCATACATCCAGGCATCTATACATCCTCACACACTTTTGCACTTATAATATTAGTATAGATTTTGAAAAAAGCATACCTATATATAATATTTAAACGTCATTTAAGCCATATAATATACATACATATATTGTCAGTAACAGCCATATTATATAGAGCACCTCTATCATTTGAGCTTTCTAATTAAATACAAGAATAAATAAACACACCTGGGCGGTGACATTACAAAGCTATTGAAAAACAAAAGTAGTTAATTAATTGTTATTCCGAGAGAACAACGTCGAGTACAAATAAATACGCCCTTTGATCTCCTTTTTAATATAAAAAATATTTATATTTAAACAATATAACATGATAAGGTTTGTCGACTATATTAAAAGTTATGTCAATCGATGTTTTTATTCCATTTGAATGGCACGCGATGTTTTCGTACAACATCATGTAAGACTTTTTTGTGTGAAGTTTTTTATAGGATTAAAATAATACGTTAAAAGTAAAAAAACAATAATTAAAACAAGCTTTTATTTGAATGCTCTAAAAAACCTTTAAATTAAATCAAACCCAACAATTTATTACATTACACAATTTATCTTTATATATATAATTCTTCTGTGAGTGTGTATGTCACTGAACTTCTCTCAAACGACTGGACCGATTTTGATGAAATTTTTTGTGTGTGTTCAAGGGGATCTGGGAATGGTTTAGATTCACAATTTGAATAATAATTTTCATCAAAAAAATTATTAAAAAAAGTTTGAAATTTTTAAATTAAAGCCGTGTAGAGAGGACAACGTCTGTCGGGTCCGCTAGTATGATATAAAAGCTTATAAATCGCCACTATGCAGCAGCCGCCATATTTACAATGACGACACGTTGCTTATTGTGTTTCGCTCATCAAGCTCTTTCATTTGATGCCCATGTCATAAGGATCACTATGGAAATGATAAATCGCCATTCTATAACTTTCCGCCATATTGGATTAAAAATGGTGACATTTAAGTATTCGTGCATTGTGTCGGGAACCAAACTAGTGTGCCAAATTTCCGTTCAATCGGACACTGGGAAGTGGGTCAAATTTAACTTGCAAGATTCCATTACACACACCCGGCAGGTGAAACTAAATAAAAGTTTGTAATTATTGTGTCAAATAATATTTCTACAAATCGTATGTCTATATCATGTGATCAAATCCTCATGAGGTTTGAGCTAACAAAAAGAAAGCCATATTCTTATTATTTTTCAAGTTTTCTA